TTCGGAGCATCAAACAGATCCATCGAGCCCAATGAGTCTTCGTCCTCTTCAGTGATCACTACAGGTTGGTTCAGGTCGCGAAGATGAAATCCGTAAACTGTTTCTTCAATGCTCCACTTCCTGCTTGATTCCTTGGACTGGGACTCGTTGACTAATTTGCCTGGTTTAGTTTTTTCCTCTCGTTCCAGCTGGTCAGCTTGCTCACGAGCTTTAATTGCGGCCGCGAGCAAGGGCTTGGACTTAGCCAAACCACTCTTCGGAGCATCAAACAGATCCGTTGAGCCCAATGAGTCTTCGTCCTCTTCAGTGATCATACTTGGCTGGTTCAGGTCGCGAAGATGAAATCCGTAAACTGTTTCTTCAATACTCCACTTCCCATTTGGTTCCTTGGACTCGGTATCGCTCACCACGTTGCTTTGTTTGCTTTGTGCCTCTTGTGTCAGCTTGTCAACTTGTTCCCTTGCTTTGATTGCGGCGGCAAGCAAGGGCTTGGATTTTGCCAGTCCACTCTTCGGTGCATCGAATAAGTCCATCTGGCCTAAAGAATCTTCGTCGTCTTCAGCGATCATAGCCGGCTGGTTCAGGTCACGAAGATGAAATCCGTAAACTGTTTCTTCAATGCTCCACGTTGCCCTTTGTTCCTCGACCTGGGGACCATTTACCAAGGTGCCAGGTTCGGTTTCCTCCTTTCGTTCTAGCTTTTCAGCTTGCTCGCGAGCTTTTATTGTGGCCTCGAGCAAGGGCTTGGACTTAGCGAATCCACTCTTGGGAGAATCAAACAGATCTGTAGACTCTAAACACTCTTCGTCTTCTTCCATTATCGTTTGTGGCTGATCCATGCCGTCCACATGTTCTCCAGGCTTAGCAGTGCGAGTTGTTTTGGCTGATTCCTCCCGCTCCAGCTGGTCAGCTTGTTCACGAGCCTTGATCGCTGCTGCCAGCAATGGTTTCGTTTTCGCCAATGTACGCTTTGGAGGATCAAAAACATCCATTGAATCCAACGACTCCTCATCCTCTTCAACGATCGTTGCAGGCTGGTTCATGCCGTCCAGATGTTCCCCGAGCGTCACATTTCGCTTCGTTTCCAGCTGGTCAGCTTGCTTGCGAGCTTTGATGGATGCTGCTAGCAAAGGTTTGGACGTTGTCAAGACACCCTTCGGAGAATAAAAAGCGTTCATGGACTCCAATGACTTTTCGTCCTCTTCAATGATCGTCTTTGGCTGATTCATGCTGTCACGAGCTTTGATCGCTGCTGCCAACAAAGGACTTGATGTTGCCAACGCACTCTTTGGAGGATCAAACAAATCAGTCGCGCCCAAAGACTGGTCGTCATCTTCCATCATCGTCGTGGGCTGGTTCATGCCGCGAAGGTGAATGCCATAGACGGTTTCTTCAATGCTCCATTTATCACTAGACTGAATCTGGTCTTCCTCCGTTTGCACATCGTTCACAAAGGCATCGGTCGGTTGTTTAGAAGATTTTGGTATGCGGGCTTGTTGGTTGATTTCTTCGACGGTGGTAAGATAGTGATGTTTTCCCCATCTTCGGTCTGTATCCTCATTCACTACTTTGGCTCGTTTCTTTTCGTCTTTTGCTTGTTCCTTCAGCAGAAAATCGGTCTCACCAGAGCGCAGCTGTTGACCCAGAAGTCGTCTAGCGTATAGTTCCAAGAAGTATAACCGATTCCCGTCAATTGCTTCGCCGGCTTCTTTTTGATCAAGGAGGATTTGAAATTCGTGTCTGTAAGTTCTTTCGACATTCCGTTTCGCTCTGAAATTTTTCAAGGTCATCCGTTGCTTTTGGTTCATTCGCGCCCCTTCCTTCCACTTTTCAAACAATGTTAGCTCGGTCAAGCGACTGGTGTTATACCCATTGCCTTTCATCTTTAATGACTTCAAGTCATCCAGTTCAGTTATCTCAGTGGACGAAAGACTAGAATCGTCGGATTCATTCTCCGTAGAGGGTCCAGCATCGGAGCGATCTCGGACCTCTCCGGTAGCTTCGTCATAAGCATTATCTTGGCTTTTATCAGGCCTATCAGCATGTTCTACACTGGATGATTCTTGCTGCTTGATGGCGGACTTGGGTTGCTGCTCAAGCAGATTCGCATGTGCTATTGCATCGTTGCCCTTTGTGTGGTTTACCGTCTCAGTTGAGGCGGCCTCGCATTCTTGTCTGGAGTCATTGGTGCTTTGAATTTCAATCGTTGTGTCATGACCACCTTCCTGTTTACGTCGCAGAGTCTTGAATAACTTCGATCTCTTTTGAGACTGAATGAAGCTGTGTCGCAATCGATAGAATCGACCGGCCCTGGGAAGCTGGGATACAACTCTGATTCTTTTCCGCTTGGCATAGCGGGTATTTATTTTCTCTTTTGCAACTTCGAAAAGGAGTTTTCGCCTTGAAATCTGGGTTACAATTTCAATCAAGCTTTGGCTAGAAATTTCAGCCTGAACCGCAAAGGCTTCACGAAGCATGGGCTGTGTGATCTCGAATTTTTTGCTCCGTGATTTGGGTTTTAGGCGCCCCAGCGACTGGTCAAGCCAATCAAGGATCTTTTTATATTCCTGCTTTTCCGTTTCGAAAACTTGTAAATCACTAGAAACGTAGTTGTCAATCCAAGAATTTGTCTCCTCGTCAAGCAATGATGATGTAGACTTCAAAACATGGTCAATGTCGAATTTTTCAATTGCTTGAATAGATCCTTTTCCAAGCAAAACCCAATGCATCTTGTTGTCTTCGTCAATGTAAGCAGGAGCCCCATCGATGAGTGCAGAACTTACAAATGTTTGCTCTCGTGAAAGTCGTAGCGATCGAGCAGCGACAAAGCTAATTGATTCACCATACTCAAAAAATGAGCAATACCACCCGTTTTCGGAGAATTGATGAAAATTGTTACTGGCACGCAGCAAATTTTCTTTTGAGACTATAGACACGGAAGCGTTTGTAACAAAAACGATGTCTTTCTCTCCAGCTGCATCAGTCTTCCCCTCAAATTTCTTGGATCCACCCACGGACTCTATAGCCGCTTGGTGTATGAGTATGTCTTCAACCTGCCCCTCCAAACCTTGCAATCTCCGAGCATTACCTGGCATAATTACAGTTGCCTTGCCATCTTCTATTTCATCCAATAAAACCGATGGCTTTTCGCTAATAGCTGCCGTAGTTTGAACAACTTCTGCAATAGATTCAATGCTGTCTCCACTGTCCAATGTATCAGCCATAGAGCCTGAAGCATCTTGATGTGCGAACATGGACTTTAGTTCCTCTTCGAGTAGTTCATCTTCTTGAATTACGCTTGTTGCATCAAGGTTCAGCGATTGCTTTTCTTTGTGCGATGAAGACTTTTCGTTAGCTTCAGCATTCACGCTTTCACCACGCTCCTCCTTGTCAAGGCCATCGTCCTGTTCCTCTCTGATGCGTTCCAGAGACACGGCCGATGAACTGGCAAAGCTTTTGGTGCTGCTTTCGATGTCGAACGTCCCCATTTTCGAGAGATCAAACGAGAACTCAGAGATTCTCCCCAGAACGCCCATGTCGGTGGCTTTCCAAGCTTTGTTTCCGATCGCTTCTCTATCAAAAATGTCCTCGAGATAATTAAGACTAGCCTGTGACAGATTTGAAGTATCAAGTGTCCCTATCGAACTTTTGTGATGACTCGCGTTCAACTCGGTCTGGCGATGCACACTTTGCAAATCCGAAAGCGCAAATGAATCGTCACTTGACATATTCATATGAGACCCAAAAAGAGAAGCCTTGCTCGCCATAAACTTCGACATGGGCCGATGATGAGAGCTTTTATCATCCACCAAATCCATTACTTTAAATGACATCTGTGCAAAGGACTCCTCCCGCGGTGTACCCATACGAGATCCAAGAACAGTGGACCTGCCTGATGACCTTGATCCTGGTCGACGGAAACTGCCATCATCCATCAAATCGTTAAGCCTTAATGAATCATCGATTGATGCATTCATCCGAGATCCAATCAGAGTTGACCTCCCTGATGATCTTGATCCGGGTCGGCGAGAACTTCTGTCGTCCACTATGTCAGTGACTCTGAACGACATCTGTGCAAACGACTCGTCCCGCGACATATCCAGTCGAGAGCCAATAGGCGGCATCCTACCAGCATGTGACCTTGTTGGTCTAGTTTGACCAGGACTTCTGACATCCATCAAATCGGTGACTCTAAATGACATCTGTGCAAAGGACTCATCGCGAGACAAAAATGAAGCGTTCCGAGTCCCAGGGCCTCTTCGCATGGATTGATTGGGACTTCCAACCTCCACCAGATCGGAGACCCGAAATGACGATTGTGGAACAAACCTTCCTCGGTTTCCAGCATTGAAGGGGCTGTTAGGTGGAAGTGGAGGAGGAGGAGAAAGACGCACACTATTCACGAAAGATCTTATAGAGTCGTCACCCTCCACTTCGGTCAAAACTCCAGTATTGCGCTTCAATAGTTCCCATACACCCTCGATGACCCTGGCTTCGTGATTTTGTAGAATCGAGGCCATTTGAAGCACTTTTTCTTCGACTGATAAGGATTTCCACGCATCAGACCCAATCGTTTTTACTACTGTTCTCTCAAATCTTTGCTTTTGCCGGTTTGTGTATGCGCGATCAACAGCCATGAGTTGAAATGGAAAGAGACCAGTAGAAGGATCCTTGGTTGACATCAGTCTCTTTTCTTTATCAACCATGTGCTTTATCTCGTCAAATTCCTTTGAATTTACCAGAGCAAGATGTATTGGATACTGCCCTTTCCATTTCTTGCATATCGCCTCAGGATAGGCACGAGCAATGAGTTCAATAGAAGTTCGCTTGTTAGGGAATTCCCATGGCATCGCAATGTACCGGTCCGTCATGCAGGCAATATGTAGAGGGTAGCAGTCTGTCCCTGGAAGTGAAAGTGATGCCGACTTTGGAAAGCACTCAACAATCATTGCAATGATCCAGGGAGAGGTGTCCGAGTTGCACACAGCACCGTGAAGCAAGTATACATCTCTTCGAGGAATGCTGTCCCATGGACAATCGTGCCAAATCCAGAATTTCAACTTTCGCCACCATTTATCCATAGAGGTCGAGATGAACGCATCCATTATCGACATTTTTATAGCAGCAAAGTTCCTTGGGTGTGTTTTCCATCCATTCTCTGTGTTCACGTAACTCCAGGCAATGAAATGACCGGCCACATTGCCCAACCCATACATAGAACGAACCATTTTCATTTGTGTTATTGCAAGAACATTCTCTAGAACCACTTTCTGTATTTGAGCCTTATCGTTGACAGCAATTTCATGACGTATAGCATTCGGCGCGTCTCTCAGTACTTCAAAGATCAGTGTCAGCTGTTCCATTTCGTAGAAGTCATTTATGCGCTGCAAGTGGCGTTCTTTCTGGCTCTCATTCAAGGTACCCCACGTTGCAGTCGTAAACTGCCGTCGCACCAGATGTTTCATGTCCATGGAGAAATTGTCCACTGCCGCAAGCTGATAAGGATATAACCTTGTTATGGGATCTCGAATGAGTAGTGATTCCTTGTCTTCAGCTGTAAGAGTCGATACAAATGACGAATTCTTCCCAGCGACAATCGCATGATGTAGAGGCAGTCTATCTTGGTAGCGCCGTCTGGTTGACTTTGGAGACCCAATCATAAGCTGCTGCACCACGCCCCCCATCGGCGACTCCTTCTCATCGAAATGACGTGGGAATTGACGATAGCGCCATGTTTTGCAAGCAAGATGAATGGGCAGTGCGTTGGAAACGGGCTGGATAATTGCAGCCGCTTTGGGGTTCATTCTCGCAAGAATTTTTATCAAGGAAGGCGGGCAATCTGGATTACAAAGTGCCCGATGTAGTAGCAACATGTCGTCATCTCTCTCCCCTTCTTCTTTCTCATCACTCCCGTCAAATGCAGATCCGTCAGCAATAGAGCCCCACAACCTAATCAAATATTTCAACTTTGACCACCATTCCAAATACGAAGGGGGTGGAACGTCGTCAAGTTCCGATTTAGATGACCGATCCAGTCTCGCTCGAAAAGATAATCGGTCTGGCCAAGATGCATCGTACAATTTGGAGCCCATAGAGTAGTGGAGTGCCACAATTCCTCTCCCTGAAACATCCTTCTGAACTTTCGGAAGTCCCTGTGGACATGCTTCGATCAGCTTTTGAAGAACAGTCGAAGGATATTGTTCGCAAATGCAGGAAATTATTGAAGATTGCACATTCTCTTCTTTCTTTAGTGCTTCCTCTCCCATGAGTATAGCTAATTCCACAGTCGTTGGCGGTGCGGCTGATTCAAACAGTGCCTTCACAAACAACTGCTCATGATCACACAAGGGAGCTTTTGCTTTCTGACGATTTCCCAAGAGGACTTCCACTTGATGCCACGTTTTTTCTAATTCTACCTGCAGTTGTTCTTTTGTTGGCTCTATTGCAAAACACCAGAGGGGGCCCTCGTCAACTTTCATCTTCAAGTCTTGTTGTCTTTTCCGCGCTTTCTCGATTCCCAACGTTATCGGAGTGTTCCCTGAGGCATCTCTTGTCCACAAAGCTTCATTGTGAAATTCTATTATCTTTTCAACGAATCTTGTGTCGCGGCCACTGCTCATAGCCAAATGAAGAGGCAAACATCCAGTCTTATCTGGAACCATTGCGATATGAGGTGCAGCAGACAGAGTTCGGAAGAGCAAATCTTCTGGAGTTGGATTCATACAGCATAAATGAAGAGGAGCTCTCCCTGTATCGTCGAGTCCATATAAATCGTTTTCAGGAGCATCTTCTTCGCCTCCATTTGGTTCTGTCGATTTGGTTGCAGACTGTGCCCTTTTCAATTCAACTTCACCTAATAATCGATCTAGTTCTATCCAATTCTTAGTTCCAATCGCTCGGTGAAACTCGTTCTCTGCATTTTCTATCGTTTTGAATAGCACTGTTTCTATGTTCGACTTGGAAGACGCTTTTGGAGTTCCGTCTGTGTCTTCTTCGCCCAGATCAAGTGGTATTGGTGGTATTGTGTTGATGCTATCGGTGTTTGCTGTCGACAAATCTTGCGATAGGGGCTCCCTAAAGCTAACGTTTCGCCCCATATCGTTCCCCTTCCCTTTTTGCTGGATTAATTGATGAAGAATTCTGATGTGAATTCTATCATAAGAGTTGTCTTCTTGTGCTAGCTAGTTGAGTGAACTATTCAATCATCTGCAGTACACCTCATTAGTCTTCGTAGGTCCTGCGACAAAATTTTGTCGCACATGGTTCATTAGCTTCCGAAAATGAGTCGACAAATTTGACTGCATGCCGTGAGCGAGCGAGGGAGCCGACAAATCTGACTAAAAAATGTTCTAATTTTAACCCTTTTGCTGCAGCTTGCCGATGACACTATTTGCTCGGTCTCCACATTGCAATGGAAAGTTCTTCGCAGCAATCTGTAGTGAAAACACCAGTTTACCTGCATACCGACTCATCGTCTCGACATTTCCAGGCAGGTGGGAACAGCTTTTCAAATAAAAGCAGACATTCTTCTGCACGCCCTCGTCTTTTGGGAATCTTCTCATAGCGGGAGAGCAATTTTCAAAGGTCTTCTCGTTCATCAGCTTCACTGACTTGGTTGCGGAATCAACTGCAATGTTATTCAGGGCAGAGTATGCATTGCTGACAACTTGAGGATTCTTGTAGTGGACCCAGAGTGCGTAGAGGACTGCCGCCTCGCCTCCAGCTTGCTCGATCGCTCGCTTATTTTCTGGTGTGGTGGCCAAGTTCCTTAAAGCGCAAAGGCCCTCCTTTTGGACAGAAGACGATTGGGTGTGGGCAAGCAGAGCGTTGACTACAGCTGTGGCTCCCCCAAAACCACCAATTATTTCCTTTCCCCGGTTCCCATGACTGCTCAATACTCCTAGAAGGCTGCATCCTGCTCGTTGAACTTCTGCCGAACCTAATTGCTGTTCCATCACTTTTATGGTTGCAGTCAAAGGTTCTTGTCGCATTAGCTCGTTCTTGAAGTAGTCGTCTTGACCGCAACACGTCCAAAGCGCGTCCATTGCAGCTGCTTCGGCATCAGCGCTATTCATATGCGTGTGTAGGACTTGGATCAAAGAAACACCGATCATGTTTCTCATCGATGTGACATGGTTGCCACTGCTCGGAACCACCAAGAATAGAACGCGGCAAGCAAATTCAGCCAGCCTTGGGTCGCTTCCATGCACTCGAAGCGCGTCACAAAGGGCTTCAACCCCTCCGTCTAGCGCAATCTTGGCACGCAAACTCGCATCTTCGAAATTGATCAATGATTCCAGAGACGATGACATATTGATTTGAATCTTGCAGTTGCTTCGATTCGAGTTCATGCAAGATACAAGATGATCTGTTACGTTTGGGTACTGCATCGCATGACCACTAGCGATGAACACATTCTTCAGCAGAATGGCCAAGACAGATGAAGTTTTTTCAACAAGATCGTAATCGGGTGACATCAAAGTGTCTAGGAGTTGGACAATGATCGACTCACCCATGAAGTCCAAGCTTTCTGGATCATTCTGCAAGGCCATCAAAGAATCGCAGGCAAGCTTCAGAACCTGGTCGCTATCCTCCCTCACCTGCCTTGTTGTGTCAAAAATTTGCTGCAAGGCTCGCATCTTGAATCTTTGCAAAACTTCAGGTGACAAGGTAGAAAATATTATCCAAAACAGCTCCATCCCCAGTTTTTGTAATGAAACGTCAGCTAGGTTTTCATTCAAGGAATCCAAAACATCATTCAAGCACGATTCAAGCCACTGCCCTACTCCTACCCGCTCTACAGCTTGCTCATCGAGCTCGCAGACAGGAGCCACAAAATTTATCAGTGCGCGGAATGCATAACGTTGCACAGCAACGCTGTTCTGGTGAATCCGAATGGCGTTTTGTATACAATCCATAGTCTGTCGTTGGTAGATGACAGCCCAACCCCCTTGTGGCAATTGGCTGGGAGAATCAATATGGGTAAATGGAAGGTAGTAAAATGCAATGCCCAGAGCCTTGCAACCATATTCTTGAACCTCTCGAGAGTTTGACATCTGACTCATCATTGAGATTAGTTCATCGAATCCCTCGTTGTTGTAGCATTCCAGACCTGTCTCTCCCAGCAGACACAGATCTTTCAACAGTGCCACCACGGATGGCTCACGGTTGGCATTTTGCAACATATTAGCAAACATATTCGTCTGTTGGTGCAACTGAGTTTTTGGGGCCGAATTGACTTCGGCATTCTTGTCCTCGGATGATACTGCATTTGTGTTTGCGATAATGACCTCAAGTGCCATTCGAAAGTCTGGGTCCATTTCGACCGACAAGGCACGTTGAATGGAGTTCAAAAGAGGAGCTTGCTTGATATGCAGAGCCCCTCTAGCACAACCGGACAGGGACGCAATGGCACAAAATATGGAGTCCTTCACTTCAAAATTTAATTCGTGCTCTCCTGATTCCAGATGCTCGACAAAGGCATCACTGACAATTTCCAATCCACCGAGCTCAAGAACAGAGTGTTTGGTTCGTAGATCATGGGCGCACGCATACGCAACAGCTAGGCACCCAACGTCCACAATGGCTGGAATGTCTGGAAACTTTGATATCAATGAAAGCGTCAACTTCATGGCTTCAGCGTTGGTGGTTATAGCTATCCGCGATGCCGTGTTGGCCGAAAAGTTGCAAAACGAATGGACCGCACAGGTTGCCATTTCTTCGTCCACTTGTCTTGGATTCTCCCGGCAAAACTTTTTGACAGGGGCAATGGCAGCTGCAGCATGTTTGGAAGGAAAACTGATTCGCAGCGCTAGATTGGCCAGAGTTCGACTCCCCTGCAAGACGACTCCGTAGGCATTGAATAGCTCCATACACTTTGTGATGGTACGGATTACGTCATCGGTAGCTGGGAACATATCAATGGAATCCAATTCATCAGATGGTACGCTCAGCTTCCACATTAGTTCCAGTCCAGCTTCTGCAACAGTAGGTTTCAGGTCGTGCGACTGGAGGATCCGACAAACAGCGTTGGTTCCATGTTCGTTGGCCAAACCATCCTGGACATCCATCCAAGAGGACCGCCCCGTTTCCATCAACTTTTTCCGTTGTCTCGCAAAATTTCGAAGCGGCTGCAGGGCATATTTACTTCCAACTTGATGCGGAGCATGCAAAAGAGCAATCATTCTATTAATGATAATGGTCACCTTGTCGTGTTTTCCATTCAATCCTTCGTTTTCGTCCGTCGACAGTGCATTGATCAAAGCACATGCTGCCGAGACGACATTTTCTTCCATGGCATATTCATCCAGTGTTTTCAGCACAATATCTACTGCTGATCGCTTGGCCAAGGTGGCTCTGTATGGTCCCGGTAAGCAGGCTATCGTTGTCATCGTCGTGAGACCAGCAATGATGACTTCGGGTTGCTTCTTGAAGCGTTCAAAGGGTATCGTCGCCGCCTTGATCCAATTGGGACCGGCCAGTACCACTCCATTCGGTCGCGCCATTTGATCTTGCGACAAGAAGTGCCGGAAGACTCCAAATCCATCAACCACAATTTCAGCTTTATTTCCTTTCTGATCGATATCATTCAAAAACTTGATGTAATTGCCCTCTGATAGTGCCGTCCGAAATTTGGCCACTACGGGGTGCTCGTCGACAGGTCCAGCCGCTGCCACTGATCCGGGCGGTGGCTTCTTCAACGAGACGCCCGCGGCCATGGGGGCTGGTTTGGAATCATAGCCGGCGGATCCACGACTATGGTGCGACCCTGCCCCTGTTCGACTGTGCTGTGACCCCGCTCCCGTTCGGCTGTGTTGGGAACCAACATTTGGAGGAGCTGGAGTTTCCATGATTGCATTGGGAGCTTGTTTGGGAGCTGGTTTGGCAGATGTCGAGGAAGGTCCAGAATCTCCCACTAGAGGAGGTGGTGGTTTCTTTAGACTGTTTGGTGGTGGTTTTTTCAGATCATTTCCTGGCTGTCTTGGTGGAGTGCCAGTGCCAGCTTTGTTGGGGTTGGGAATATTGTGGGTGCTTTGATTCAGACCAACGCTACTGACCCTAAGTTTTCCACTTTGAAATGCATCGTTCAGTTTTCCAGGACCCACACGACTGGCTTGTCGAGATGCTGAAAAGGAAGGCTGCACCGCAAAGGAACTGACACTCCCTCTATTTTTGCTGGAATTCATTCGGTTCTGAGCGTCCTGTCGAGACTGCGGAGCATTATTGGGCATGCGGTCGTCTTCCATTTCTCCCAATAAAATCTTAACTTGTTCTACTGATTGATAGCAGGTGGCACTGATGCAATGTCCTTTGTAAACAGTGTAGGAACCTTTTTCGTTTTTTAAAGTCATCGGCACCGATTTCACAGATCGAAACAACTTTTTGACTCTTTTGTGTGTTTGATTGACACCGCAGAAGGTACACAAGCCTTGGCGTCTAGCATATTCAATAGCATGTGGTCCCGAATACGTACGGGTGCTTGCCACAATTGTCAACGTTGGATTTTCTGGATTTTCTCCCATTGTTAGTCCAATTCGGATTCAGATTGTAAAAATCTTCTGAGACTGTTTTGTGCCCAAAATCTCAACCGGGCCGCTAGTAATTGTTTTATCCTCAATCTCGATAATCTTCAGTCTTTTATCTTCTTAGCTTTTATTGCTTGGGAGGTGATGACTTTATCACTCCTGTTGCTCTTTGGTGTGCTGGAAGCCAACTGCAGAAACTGAAAACGTGTCCTCAATTTGGACATCATCACTGTTGGTCATCTTGGGTGCGCGCCCCCCACACTATGCCATAAGTATCCTGGTATGAAATTAGTCGATCAGATTCCCACCAAACAAAATAAAAAGGGAGGGGATTGACCGCTGCCTTCCCCAAACTCTATATATCGAAATCAAACCATCGAAACCATCCATGCAGGTCAACGATACGTGCCGATAGTCTAGTTATCCTTACATACCCGACTGTACATTTTCTAGACTCTCTATTCGTGACAGACTCTTACCAAGTCCAGGCTGAAGTTCCAAACGAGAAGAACGTTCTGAAAATGGCAACGACTGAGACCACAACTCCCACAAAAAACTCGTTGACATCCTTCCAAGTCAGACGCAATCGATGGAAGAATGCTCCTCGTGGAAAGCTATTAGCAATGCCAACTTCTCCTTTACCAGAAGTCACGATGCAATCAGTCAATAAATTACCACTACCACCTTCACCGTCAGCTGCTGAGGTCGCATCAAAAGCAAGGCAAGGTCTTCAAGAAATATCCTTTGCATCGCCTTCCACAGCAGATGCACCTCCAGCTACGTCTAGCAGTTTTAGCTTCTCGGAGAAGGGCAAAACAACAACAGAAACAGCAACACGAGCCATACAATCACCATCGTCTTCACTGATATCAATGCCATCGGGCTTGTCATCAGCGTTGCCATCTGGTTCTCCTCTAATGTCGGGGAAGCCACCAAAACCACTTTTTGGAACAGCTAGTAGTACACAAGCGTCGTCGTCCTTTGTGACGCCAAAAGCAAAGACATCAGCCCCCTCCTTTGGGTCTACTTCTACTTCCTCGGCCGCATTTCCACCTATGTCGAACACAGCACCGACACCCTTTGGCGCAACTCAATCCAAAGCTCCGAGTGGTACGACTTTGAAGAGTTCCTCTTCTTCTTCAGCAGCGTTCCCACCAATGTCAGCCAAAGCACCAACTCCTTTTAACGCAACACAGTCAAAACCAAGGACTTCGACAGCAAAGTCATCGTCGGCATCATCAGCGGCATTTCCACCCATGTCGGCCTCAGCACCGACACCCTTTGGCGCGACACAAACCAAGGCAACCACCACCACCACAAAGGGTTCTATGTCATCAGCAGCATTCCCACCAATATCAGCCAAAGCACCAACTCCATTTGGTGCAATGCAAACCAAGACGACAAATGCAAAGAGTTCTACGTCGTCACCAGCCGCAGCATTCCCACCAATGTCGATCAAGGCGCCAACTCCATTTGGTGCGACACAAACCAAGACGACAAGTGCAAAGAGTTCGACATCATCAGCAGCATTCCCACCCATGTCAGCAAAAGCACCAACTCCATTCGGCGCTGCGTCTTCCTTGTCGTCTTCAGCTGGATCCTATCCTCCCATGGCTAGCAAAGCTCCAACGCCATTCGGAGGAGTTTCAACATCCTCAACATCTAGCGGTTCCTCCACCTCGCACAAAGAGAGACTTTTTGAGTTTTACAAGAAGCACAATCCGTCCAAGTTGGATACGGTGGACGCAACATTGTTAAAGTACAAGGGGAAAGAAGATGAAATGTTCCAAAAGCTGGAGGCAAAATACAACAAGGCTGGAGGAAGCAGTGCGAGTCCATTTCCCCTTCCTTCGGGAGAGGGTCCAACATGCTTTGTTGAATTTGCAGTCGATGGGAAGAATATCGGAAGGGTGGTTGTCAAGCTCTACAAGGATAAGGCACCACTGGCAGCTGAAAATTTTCGGTGTCTCTGTACTGGGGAGATTACCGGCGACAAACGTTTGACGTACTTGGATTCCAAGGTTCATCGCATTGTTCCAAACTTTTGCATTCAAATGGGCGACATTACTCGAGGGGATGGTAGAGGCGGAAAAAGTATATATCCTCCCAATAGTGAACAGTAAGTACCATGCAACGTGCCACGCAAAAGCCGACATGTATTGTTTCCTTTTTCTAATCAAATTGCCCGATCTTTTCACAAAATCTTGTCAGTGGAGACGCATGGGGAAAGTTCAAGGATGAGCCATTTATGCAACATTCCAAACCGGGTCTACTCAGCATGGCCAATTCTGGAAAGAACACAAATTCATCTCAAGTATTCTTCACCCTGAAAGCTGTGCCATACTTGGACGGAAAACATGTTGTCTTTGGAGAAGTGACAAAGGGCTTTGGCGTAGTCGAAACCCTTGGCAAGATTGAAACAAACTCGAAGACCCAAGTGCCAATTTCTCGTGTAACCATTGCTGCCTGTGGAGAAATTGTAGATGGCAAAGATGTCGCGTGCCCAGCAAAGGAAGAAACAAAATCCACTCCTTTTGGAGTTCCTAGTGCATTTGGACCCGCCAAAGCCCCAAGTGCATTTGGCTCGACTTCTACTTTCGGTTCAGGATCAACAGGGGCCTCGCCATTCAGTTTTGGAGCAACATCGACACCGGGAGGCACAAGTTTAGGAGGAGGGGACTCTTCCAAGGCATCAGGATTCAGTTTTAGTGCAACTTCGACACTTGGAACAGCCACATCATCGTCCAAGTCGTCCGGGTTCAGCTTTGACACATCATCCTCTCTTGGCTCGGGGTCAAAAACAGCATTTGGCACAGTGGGCGGTGGCCAACCATCATTTGGCTCTTTGGCTACCAAAGACGCCAAGGAGAATCCATTCACTTTCGGCGCACCATCGAGCACTCCCAAATTCACATTTTGATTTCCGAATTCGTTCAAGCTACACCGATGTTTTCGAAGTCACCGTACAAGCACTCTTTCCTTGATCTGTATTGCTATTTATGCTATAGCAGTGATGATTACAATCTAAGCTTGATTTCAACAATGGACCGCATTTTCAGGTATAGCATAGCAAAATAAACAAAATCAGATGAACTCTATTAGTCTGCGATTATCCTGTATCAACCGATCCCACTTTCCCTCTCAAGTTTTGCATGGGCGTCTTATTGCGGTAGGTCTGTTCTTCTTTTCTATTTTTGATCTCATCACTTTTACATCTCGTCGTCCTCCACTACTGGGTTTGCGTATGCGACAATGAGATATGCGATTAATGTTGCAACACCGAGACCCACACCAATTGGAACAAGCAAAATAGCAGGACTTCCAATTAGCCCACCCAAGAAGTCGGAAAGCATAGTGGTAGGGTCCAAGGTTCCAGCTGCGATATCCATGGATGACGATGGTTCGAAGGCTGGCATAGCAGTCGACGTGAAATGCGTCAGTGGTTGAACATTTGCGACAGGAGCGATTGTTGTGAATGCATCAACAGGGAGCACCAAGCACAGTGCTGCTAGAAGGAAAATAGAGACTTGTAGAGAGCGGGACATGATGGATTGATCTTCAGTGTTTGAAGTGGAATGCTGTGGTTGTAGATGGTTTTGCAAAATCAAAATCCAGCTGACGTCACACTTCACTTTTGAAAATGGAAAAAAGAAATTGAAAATGAGAAATCATTCCAAAGCAATCGTCGTCAATCTTTCCAGGAAACAGGCCTAAAGATATTATAATATATCTACTCAAACTATTTGATACAATCTCGTTTTTTCTATAAAGTTGAAGTCAATTCTAAATATAATGTTACAAAATTTACTGATGATCCCGAATGAATTCATTCCTTGTTTTTTAAAAGGAAAAGATTTTTGACCTTTCGTGTCCCAAAGCCTCCAAGTTGGGAGTGCAGCCACGATCCAACATGATCGGTGGACCGCACATCAAGGTGTAAGTGTCGGAACCGGCAGGGTAAAATTCTTGTTGGAAGAGTTCACGGCTTACGAATCCCTTTGAGTACTTCCAGTCTGGTGGCGAAGAATCACTCAAAATGTAGTGGGCCTTGAACTTGCCAGGGAAGCGCTTTTCCCATTCATCAAGAGTGGAGCGCATCAGCAAATCTCCCTCCTCACGAGCAGCGAAGATCAGTGATATTTGAGTCTTGTCAGCTGGGTGACGAAGGATCTCAGCAGCCACTTGCATGCAGGGTGTGATACCAGTTCCTCCGGCAACCATGTTGAACTTGGTTGCAGTGCATTCCTCTCCATCCAACAAGAACTTTCCGTTGGCATGGTATTCAAACTCTCCAACTGGCCCTCTGAAGTCCATCGTGTCTCCAATCTTCAAGTTGTCGACATGTTGACTCATCTTTCCTCCATTGGGGAATCGTTCGCACGGTCTGTAGGCCTTGATGACGAATTTTACGCATCCGACATCATAGTTGGACGAGATAGGAGTATAGCGTCTCATAACAGTCTCGCCATTGATGACAGCAGACATGAACATGTGCTTCCCCGTTGGAAGACCAAGAACATGCTGTGGGGTCGGAAGGGCGAAATCCAACATGAAAGAATCTCTGGAAAGGACAACCTTGTTTTGTAGGTGGAAGGATGTCTTCTTTCTTGGGTTAAGGGCCAACAAGTTGCCCTTATCGTCAGTGAGTTGATCAGATTCCTCCTTCTTTTCTTCGGCAACAACTGCAGACTTGTCCAAATCACCAATGTAGTACTTCTCAAGCATCTTAGTGGCCTTCATAGAGTGGATGGCCACAAAATCTTCAGTTGCATCCTCACCAGCATTGATGATGATGGAATCGGCACCTCCAGGGTGTAGCTCGAGGTACTCGGTAGCGTTGTAGACACGATCTTTGACAACGATCCAGCAGTCGTGTTCAGTGTTGTGCTTGCGAATCTCGTCCATGGAGAAGAGTTTCTTGGCACCAGTGTCCTTGGTCTCGGCAACAGGCTCTGGGGCTTCGACAGTTGCACTATCAACGAGTTCAAGGAGCTTTCCGAATCCAGCAGATGTGGGCTTTCCAGCAAGCTTGGTCATCCATCCACCAGTGAGCTGCCCTGGTTGGGTGGGCTGCTCAAATTTGAAGACATGTTGTCCGCTGGCATTCTTGTTCATGTTGACCTTGAGGCGGAAGACTTGGTTGTTTCCCATCCCCATCAAGTTCCATGTCGGGTGGTCAGGTTGGACATTGTTGGACTCATCCCAGGCACGGCACATGATTTCCTTGCAGCCAACAAGGTCGGACACCTTCAATTCGTAGTCCCACCAAGTCCAGCACCAGTACATGCCATGCTCAGTTGGTCGTTCCTTGCGATCGAGAGTGGCGAGTTCCCAGTGGACTCCACCATCAGTACTGACCTCAACACGGGTAACCAAACGACCACCACCAGTGTAGGCGTATCCAGAAACAGTGTATGTCTTGTCAATGTTCTGGGCAATAGGAAGCTCTTCATCATGAAGTGGAGAAGCAATAGCAGAGTTGATGTTCAACTCGTTAAAGATGTATTCGGGCTTGTACCACCATTGTCCCTTGAGAGATTCTTCAGCTGTGATGTGTGGAGGCAAAATTCTATTGTCGTGGTAATGGTAGTGGTTCTTGGTCTCGTGATCAATGACGTTGATTTCCTTCAACCATTTGATCATGCGGCCACCAATGTAGCCTGGAATGACCAAACGAAGGGGAAAACCGTGATCAGGCATCAGCTTCTCACCATTTGCTTCCCAAGCGACCATGATATCATAGGCAGGGTTCATGGCTCTGGCAAGAGGAACAGAAGTTCCGTACTTGACGAGCTTGCCCCATGGTTCATCTGCAAATGGACCAGGTCCGACCTTGTTGGGAAGGTCTTCAACACCAATGAATTCGACGTGCTTGCCGCGAGTGTTCTTGTCACTGACACCGGCTTTGATAAGCAAGTCACGAAGGAGGACACCCTTGTAAACATTGGTAGAGACACCACAAGGTCCCCAGTTAAAGCCGATAGTTTGTCGGATCATGTTCTGTTCTTTTCTTCTGTTTCCGGCACAGACCAATGTGACAGGTATTTCTCTGTGTGGCGCAGATGCAACAAGTTGGTCCATGGTGAGTTCCATCTTGTGCTTCACGTTTCCGCCAACAAGCACAGTGTGGTCTTCCCAAGTCAAACGAGGGCAAGCACCATGGTTTCGAACGTAGTGAAGAGATGACGGAGTGAGAAATCTAGTCTTTCTCAACTCGCTCATTGGAGGTTCAACGTTGAAAGGATGACGTCCAGTAAGACGAACAAGACGTCCATCACGTGGAAGCCATTCATCAGGGGTCTTCACATCACGGTGATCGGGGTACTTTCCGAGATCAGTGTAAGACTTGGCATTTTTGATGGCTTCTTCAGGAGGGGTCTTGCCATCCTTGTCGATGTGTGGTACAGGAATGGCAGAGGGGAATGGGCCATAGAGAGCCTCGGCTCCAGATTCAGTTGTTTGGCACATGATTGTGAAATAGTCGAGTTCAAAGAAAATATGAAACCAAAATGTGGATACCCCGTTATGATCAGATGATCCAGAAGCAGAAGAAAAATGATGTGGCACAAAAAGTCGATTTTGGTGCCGGAAATAACTTGAATAACATTCTGTCGCGATCGTCACTGTGCGAACTGTGACAAAAGAACGCGTTATCTCCTGCTGTCTGCTGTGTTCTCGTACTTTCTCGGCCGTAGCAGACTACAGTGTTCGTTTTATTTCCGGTTTTGATAAAACTTCGGGAAGTATGACTTCGATACGACAAAAGTCCACGTATAGCAACTTTTCTATCTAGTGAAACTCCTGCTTGAGGATGAGAGGTTCGGCAGCAGCACTCTCCGAAATTGCCAGAGGAACCAAACTGTTACACATTTGATTGGTTGCTAAGGTCGCGCTGAGAATCGTTACGTTTTTCAAACTTTTTTGACTGCCGGAGTTCAGAGGGCTACAACTTGGAGTATCTTTCTGGACAGCTGACATGTGTATCCATCGAACAAATCCTTCTTTCATCGGATTCATGTGTTTTCATCGAAGCAATGGACAGTGCGAGTCTGCTGCAGCCTCAAAAGCTTAGAAATTGAAATGCTGTCTTTGTCTGATCTCTAAAGCGGCTTGCTTGCATGATCTAAAACAGTATGTGATGGGCAAGTTCAGATTGGTGTCAAACTCGCAGGATGTCTTTGCTTACAACCGACACTTTATCCATCGAACAATCGTTCTTTAATCGGATCCATTCATTCAATATCAACAATCAATCAATGCAGTGGTGCGGGTCTCCTAAAGCCTCGAGTCCTCAGAGATTGAAATTCTGTCTTTGTTTGTTTTCTAAAATAGTAGTTTACATGATCTAATCCTTGATGATGAACAATAGCACGACCAAGACAAAGCGAAAGAGCAAAATCATCCAAATGCATCTCCATGACGAAATCACCCACCGATCAATGTCATGGGTCTGTTTTCTTTGGAATGGTCTTGCAAGTCCTCCATATCCTTGTGGCCGCCGAGCTTGAAATGCTTTCTCTGTACAGAATAGTGAATGAGTTTTTGTAGCATTTCGTCGGAGGACTCTTCGTGCCGCATCAAATCTCGCAAACTAACTTCAGTGGATCCAAACAGGCACACCTTTAATTGTCCATCTGCAGTAATTCTCAATCGATTGCAAGTCCCACAGAAATGCTCGGTCATACTGGTAATGAATCCAATTCGTCCCATAGTATCACCAGGAAGAGTCCACCACTTTGTCGTGTCGTTGGGTCCATCTTCCAATCTACTCAAACCTTCAATGCTATCTCTCATTTGCTGGTAACTCACAAATTCACCTGTTCCCCAGTTATTTTCATTAAAGGGCATGTATTCAATGAATCTAACGTCAATCGGCATGGAACGCGTCAATTCGCAAAATTCTTGCATTTCGTCAACATTGTCCGGCAAAACGACACAATTGATTTTGGTCCGATTTGGCAAGAGGGTCGCACAATCTTCAATCGCCTTCATCACTTTTGTGTGATAGGATTCGGGTCGCCGTGTCAGTTTGGCAAATTTGTCTGGGAGCAAGGAATCCAAACTGACATTGACGTGTGTCAAGCCAGCTTCCACTAGATCTGGTAGATTTCTCGACAGCGTCACTCCATTGGTTGTCATTCCAATTTGTTCCAGTCCCAGCTCATTTAGATTGCCAACCAGATCTACCAGATTCTTCCGCAGCAGTGGTTCACCACCAGTCAGTCGTATCTTGTCGACACCATTCTGAACAAACCAACTAGCGAGGCGCACAACTTCATCATTGGACAACAAGTGAGACTGGGGCTGCAAAGGAACACCATTTTCAGGCATGCAGTATTGACATCTCAAGTTGCACCGTTCTGCCAACGAAATTCTTAGATACGAATGTTGTCGCCCAAACCGGTCCGTCAATGGTTCCTCGGGCATTGGAAGGGCTTCTAACTGCTTCATGAGTGATTCCAAGCTTTGGTTTACTTCAGCTTCCGTCATTTCATTTGTCATACTGGAACTGGAAGTGTCCTGCGGTCTTGGAGTGCTTTGTTTCAATGAAATTGGTGAATCTTTGTCTTGATTCAGTCGCCTGCGTAAGGATTCCAATCTTGGTCGATGATGAACGACTTCTGGCTCTTCCTCCCGCAGTGCTGCATTAGAAGAAAGCGGTCTGGAAGCTTGCAGTTGACTGAATACACGATTCCTGCCAAGGGAAACAACTCGACGCATCTTGAGTTTAGATACTGTAGTAGTAGTACGATTGATACTGTGAATGCGAATGGTAGAATGCGACCGTGTCCCACCAAGCCTCGGATAAAAGCAGGAGAAGAGGCAGCTCAGATTACTGGAACTTTATGTGCTCGTTACTACCGGTATTTGCAATCAGATCTATTGGATAACTGAGGTGTCAGTTTGAACACACACGAGGAAGATGAGAAAACAGAACAAATCCCTCTTCCGGTAGATTTGATGGAAGAGGAATCTGACGGAACAATCAATAGGCCAATCTTGGTCGACGATATGTCGAAAACAAATTCCAAATTCCTGTGATGACGTCAATGTCAATTCTCCATGGAACTCTTTTCGTTGCTTCCGTTGACGTACAGCCAGTGCGATAGTGTAGGTTCAAGGTACAGGCACAGTTCCATGATGTTGCAAGAGTTGGTTGTATTCAAGGAGCATTGAATACGAATCTGGTATTATATTTCAATCTTACCACAGGCACTCAGTAGCTCCAGGAAGAAGTCGTTCGCTTTATACACCAAATACTCCTACCTAATGAGATTACAAAATTATGTACTACAGGAGTGCCACTTGAACAAAAATTCTCAACTACTACAACATGCCCTGCCTGAGGAGTCTAATGGAGTTCTATTCAATTCAATTTAGCATAGCTGAAATCTATCGTCCCCAAATTGTACCGGACTCCCAGATCAGTATCAGCCGTTGGACATTAATCTCTTGCAAAGCTCGAAAGACTTAGATCAATTCAATCTAAATCTGAAATTTAACGGTAAAGTCCGTTGTTGTAGATATCAATGACGTAATCAGCCTGGGGGGGAAGGGCGGTGAATCGGCTCTCGTACTTCTTGATGACGTCCTTCTCGGCTGAGGTAAGTCCTGGGATGCTGTAAACCTCACCAACACTCTTGTATGGTCCGTTGGTGACAATCTTTCCGGCAACAGCGGGGTACATACCAGGCATCTTCAAGTAGACACGGACGTTGGCGTTGTTGATATCGACAACATTGCCTCCTCCCAAGTATCCAAGACCTTCGTAATCACGAACGGCGTTGGCAGCTGGGGCGAAAGCAGCAAGTCCGGCAACAGCAGCGGCTTGAGAAAGGAAGTCGCGACGGTCGGCGGCAAGCTCAGTGGCTTGTCTGGTGGCTTGAGGACCGCTGGTGAAGGCGGCAACAGTGCTTTAAAAGAACGAAAAGGGGAAATAATGAGTGATTTGTTCTTGAATATGGCATGAAAAGACCGATGACTGTCCATTGTCAACTTCTCATTGCGGAAACGCAATTTGTCGTGGACCAAGACTACTTTTTCCAAAATCACATCTTTGTTTGACGGGCTTTTGGAATGTTGATATGCATCCCTTTGCGGATTGGGATATCTTCTTCACTTACGAGAAAAGGAGGGCAAGAACGGCGATCTTCATGGTGATGTAATGGACTATTGAATATGGCGTTGACGAGCTGTGATTTCTCGATCGCAGAAAACGTCGTAGAGTTGAGGGTGTATCTTTCAAGTTGAAGACTCCGTTAGAAAGGTACTGGGACCTACGGCAAAATCAATCGCAAGGATAGACAGGACGAGCGGAGGCCAGACTAGTACGTCATTCAACAGCCCCCATTTCTGCCATATTCCCCCTTTCCCTCCCCGTAATGATGTTGTAAGGAAAACTTTTGACAAAAAGGGTACACAACTGTTGCCTACTGTACAATCCATCTAAGGTATCATAGAACACCAGCAATCTACTCTAGCAAGACCATAAGCTGACTACTCTATAGAATCGTCGCTTTCCAAATATTTTAAAACGGTCTTCCACCAGCTCGTGATGCGGTGGTGGGAGGTTCTCCAGCACTAGGCCGCCGGCCTCTTTCAAAAGTTGTTCTTGTAGACTGTCTCTGGTACGCTTTCGCCTCGTCCAGAACTTTGAATCTATGTTCGTGCCCCAATGGTTCATTTTGCCGACCTGGAGCTGGCGCAAGGTTGGATTCGACACGTCTACTAAATGAAATGACATCATGAGAATGCTGCTGCAGCAAGAAAGGCCATCGAGATACTAACAGCTCCACCAACTGCCAAATGTTGAAACGAATCAGCACCCTTCTCTTCTATATGATCTGAAAGAGCGTCTTTGGCATGCTGTGTATTCCACATTGTCATCTGAAAAGATCCAGTACTGTCCGGTCGCACACCAAACACAGCGATAAAGTACTCCTTGCCTGCCACGGTATCCCATAGCAATGAGGGGTGCTCTCCAGCAGCCTTACCGTAAGACTGCGCAGGACCATAATAAAACTCTGGCCGATCACATTGTCCTTCAAACACCATGATGCTGACGTCAAAGTCCTCTGACGTTGGAGCAGCGATCGCGGTATGTTTGCTTCCATCTCCGACAATTGAGTACCAGAGTGTTGGTGACTGGAACCAAGATCCCTCACACGCTTCATTGTGTATTATTTCATTCATATGGTTCATACTTTTGGTGGCTGCGAGCACCTCATGCTTTCCATTTTCGTTCAAGGCTACAGGAATGGCTCGAATGCACCCAGAATCGGTTTGACACAGGGGAAGACGATCTCCTGACGATGGATCCATTAGTAGATTGGTGCTCGTGGATTGATGATAATCCATTAGCAGGCCCAATAACGCGCGAAAGACTAGAATCTGAATGATAACATGGCAAAGGCAAAGGAAGGATGCTCCTGTGACAGGGTACTTGGATTTTCGAAAGTATCCCCACAATTGGTTGCCATCATCATCATCATCATCATAAGCTTCGCCTCTATATTCATCGTCATCAGCATCGCAATATCCATCTTCAGCTCCGTGTTGGACTGCTACCCGATGTTGGACTAGATGCTCTGCTGTGCCTTCTTTGGTGCGTTGCTTTTCTAATGCATCTGCCGACTCGCGATATTCTTCTACTTGAACCGTTGCCGCATCCAATTGATCCAAATCAATGCACGGCTCGGACGGTGGTTCCCCTTCCTTCTCTTGATGGGGATTGCTGTAGTCGTAGTCAGCAGTCACAGGACTGAGAGGAGGACGAGAGCCGTAGTCGGTTAGTGGGCTAACAAGATCTGCAACGTCGGAAGAATTATAATGGTGTAGGATTCTTTGTTGATCAACACTGCCTGATAGACTACTGGTGGTGTTGTAGTCTCGCGATTCATCCGATGGAAAGTCCGGGACGGAAAATGGGGTAAAGTCAGTATCATCATCGTCTTCGTTGCTGGTATTGTCGTCATAGCTTTCGATACGGCTTTCTCCAGCAGGTTCTTCTTCCTTCACTGTATCAAGCGGAGAGAACTGAGGAAGCTGTATCATTTCGACACCTTCACCACGATCTGGTTCCTGACTTCTTTCCACCTCCTCCTTGACTATTCGGCCGCCGGCCCTTTCGGCCGAGTTAGATTCAGAATGGGCCTCCATCATTGCGAGTATGGCTCCATCAAAATCGTGTTCCATTTGAGCCACGAACTGCTCGAACCGAATCCTTTCCTCACGAGTCGCAACCAAATCGCCTTGTGATCCATTTTTGGCTTGTTCCATGGCTTTCTCTTGCATTTTGATCTTTTCAATTGCCATTTCTACATCAAAGCTGTCCACAGTACCAGCGGAAGCCAAAGATTGGTAGTCGGTTATTTTGGCTGGATTTCCTAACAATGAATCCTCGCGTTCTTCTTCGTCGTCATCCTGGTGTTCTTCCCGGTGACAGCAGGAGGCAGCCGTCCCCAACTCGGCAGCTTCCAATTCCCGCTGCAAATCCAATAAATGCGATTCATCCCGATCGTCCACATCAGAATCGTTTGGGTATTCACCATTGTCACGAGAGGCACCTGCCATAATGGACCATTGATCGTTGGAATTGAGAATCTGTTCGAATTCTGCAAACTTTGACTCGAGCCCCGAATTATTTCCTTGAATCAATGGCATTTCATCATCTTCGACATTGTTGCGTTGATCCTTTTTTCTCCAAAGAAGACGGCGATGATGAGAGGACATGTTGCATTTGTTGCTGTTGTTGATGCTGTACCACTTGGAACGACATGCGAATTTGATGCCATCGCTAAAAGACAAGGTGGACATGAACAATTCGTCGATTGAAGCTAAAATAGTACGTTTTAGTCGAAGTAGTCATAACATTATCGTTGGTCGTGGGCGGGCGGGCTGGGGGAGGATCGGATTTCCAATTTCAATCCATCTCATTGGCAGTCGGTACTGTCTTAGACATCTCAAGTTCCTACTCCAATGATAAAATATAATGTATCAATTATTTCGAAGCTTACTTTATTTATATTCTTCACATGGATAGGTACCCTAATCTACCTTGACGTTCTGGAAAATGGCCTTCACAAACTTGCTTGCGGCCCAATGACCAAGGGTACCGCACAAGAGTCCTAAATTCAGCGCAATCAGTGTCATATATCCAAAGTAAAAGGTCATTTGCAAGAGACCATGCATATGAGTCTTGAAAATGTAGTAGTAGACTCCGTACAAAAAGACGTATCCAGAAGTGGAAGCACCCGATCCAAAGGCGGTCCATTGCCAGAGGTAATTCTCGGCGTTGAGGCAAAAGTACACCACAATGATGGATGTCATACCAACAACAATGGTCAAAATGCCATATACACCCAAGAGGAATCCGTATACGTGGTAGAACTTGTAGTTCCAGAGTGATGTCAAAATGTAGTATAATTCAATAAAGATGGATCCAAAACTCAACAATCCAGCCAATGGAATCAAACCAGATGGTTTTCCGTACCACGGCACATCCTCCGGAATGGGTCTAGGAATGGCATTGACGCGACAAGGGAAAGGATTAGCAGTCCCTTTGTGTGCGTGGCGTCCAAGCAAAGTTCCGACTACGCAGAGTGGAATGGAAACCAACGTCCACAGGAAGAATAGCTTGATCATGACCATGAATGGGATGGAGTTGATCGTGCCATAGGCCAAGGCGACACTGTTCAAGGTAGCAAACACACCAACTGTAACAGTTGGAAGCAAGATAACAGTCAAAGCCATGGTCTGTTGCCACTGAACACTGGTTTCCTTGCCCTTTCGTTGGACAGTTCCGGCATAGCTCTTGAAGTAATTTCCAGAAGTGTATCCAGAGACAATAGAGGAAAATGCGTAACAGACGATAATGGCCTGCATAACCTCACCACGTCCCTCATGGACTTCTCCATGCAAGGGTCCCAAGACTGCAAAGACAATGACACCCAACGTCAAGACCACAAGTTGCCAACCAGTTCCTATCAATGCTGAAAAAAGAGCGAGCAACGAGGGAGATCGAAAGACATCTCCGTGCACTTGCTTCCAACCAGAGTCTTCCACCTTATCCTGAAGAGCTTCCTTCTCGTCCATATCATCTCCCTCTTCAAGATCGTGCATGATTCCATAACGTGCATAATCCTTCTTGAGCGTTCGAAGAAGAATGAGGGCAACTAGTCCCATCAAGAAGAGAACCATCATGAAGGCATTAAAGAGAGAAAACCAGTGAATGGGATGCTTGAAGAATTCGTGATCCAAGTATCGATCAAATCGCGAGTGGAATTCTTCCACAGTCTCCACATATTGGACGTGAAGCGCAAACTCCAACTGAGCTCCAGCTTTGACTTCTTGAAGAGAGGATGTATCGGACTCCAAGTCAACCTTGACAATTTGATCCTTGTTGTAGGAAATGACCAAGTTGCGTTTCGTGTAGACATATGGGTGAAGATCCTTGATTTCATTGTCAGACAAGTCTTCCATGTGATCCAATCGAGCCAAATCATCCTTTTCCTTTGATTTGAGTTGATCCGCCTTTGGAAGCATCTCACCAACCATTCCCCATACGGGCAAATCATCCAAATACATTTGATAGAACCAGCGATGTTGAATGGCCTTAGCAAAATGATCCGCTTCGTCTTGAGTCAAGGCTTTTGTGGTACAGGTTTCCGGATCTCCATCTTTGAGGAAAGCAATATCGTGACCCGAGTGACGAAGGGCGTGTCCACCCAAGCTTTCACCAATGCTAAGACCTTTCCATTCGTTAAAGCGACCACCGCCGCCAGGAGCATCGGGATGGTGTTTGGTATCGGGCGCACAGAAAGGAAGTGCGTAGTACTCGTAAGCTTCTTGGGGATTGGCGTAAGGACCAACCTACAATGATTGATTGAATGAATGAATGAATGAATGATTAATTGAATGGAAGAAGGAGAGGACAAGCGAAAATGAGTGACTGGAAATGGAAGCGTATTCTCATATGATAGGTCGCCAACAAATGCAATGTGGTCTCAAACAATGACCATGTTGCATCATGTGATTTGAATCGTACCTTATTGACCCAAAGTTCTACGTGCTCATCCTTCTTGTATCGGTGATCTACGTTATCTGCTTCTACAGAGGGGAAAATCAATGCAGCCGCAGCTGCCACAACCAAAGGCAACCTCATGCTGAATGACGATGACAACAACAGGGACGGCCGGGAAAATCAATATTTACTCCCAAGAATTGTATGCTAAATTTCTATTTCCCGGCCGTTCCAGAGGCATTGTTTCGTTGCTCATGAACCAACATCACAAAGCTGCAGTGACCTGGCCTACGAACAGTTGGTACTTTCCTACAGAGATTTCCAAAAGTTGGAATCAAAGGATTCAAATCTGTTCGTTGGAATATGGACTGGATTGATTCAGCCGACTTCAAAGCTGCTGATTGGAGAAGTGGAAGATGTGGGGGTCAAACATCAAGCTTCTATCAAAGAAACACGGCTGCTTCAAGATATAGACCTACAGTAGATGTAGTCTCAAGATGAGGACCAGGAGGGGTACCGTGAATGATGATGATGATGATGATGATGATGATAGCGACGATCTTTCGGATGAGGCCAGCCATGAAGACTCTGAAAACGATAATGATGATGACGATGACGATGACGATGAGCAAGAAGACTCCTCTGAAGCGTATGAAACCGACGACGATGAGGAAGAATCCAACCTGATTCAAAAGAAGACCTTGCTCTTTTTGTGCCAAGAAGGCCAGATTCGGTTGGCGCGACGACGGCTACAACTGTTGCAAAAGGAAAACGAGTTTGATAAATTGCAAAAAGAAGTGTTCCAAATGGGGCCTGACAAGAACTACCCGTTGCACGAAGTTATCATGGGCGGGACCTTGGAAGATAGCTCCAAGAACATAATTCCCGAATTGCTGGAGATTGGAAAACAATGCAAGGGCCCCTTTCTCGTCATGTTGAATGCGCAGCCTCCCAGTCATGGACGAACTGCCTTGCATTGGGCCGCCTGGGGGAATGCGTCTTTTGACATCCTGCGCCCCTTGGCCATGGCCAATCCAGAGGCTTTGATACTGCGGGATGGCAAGACTCATGGCTCGCGGACGCCGTTGGAAATTTTCAAGAGGTACCATCTGCCAAAACCGGGCAATGTGTGGCACGAATGGGCCATGAAAAAATTGTCCTTTCTAGAAACTACCACTCAATTGTGGACCCAACATCGTTTGCGATTGGCGGTTTACAAGGCGGTACTGTATTGGTTTCGTCACAAATCATACTCGCCATTTGACAAAAAGGGTCGCAAGGAGACTGGAATCACACCCAAACATTGGTTCTATTTGTCCGTCATGGGATACTGTCTGCAACGGGAAATGGAACCCTTGTTGTGGAGGATTTTGGGCTTTGTAGGGGGCAGTGCTCAGATTACCAAGTTGACAAAACGGAAGCGTCGGCGATCATGAGATGGGGTCAGACAAAAATATGACTAATTATACATTCTTGCCTTGTTAAAATACTAACACGAGCGTTTATAATAATATGTGTAATCAAAATTGTATTAGTATTCTAATCATTTTGTACATGACAATGAAAGGGACCAATGAGATCAGGCTTGCGTTGGAGCAGAAAGAACACAATGTCGGGACGTTTGGTGTTGCCCAACAAGGCAGGCCAAAGGGATTCGTGAATTTTCCCACCAACCATGACCGAAGCGTAGTGATTGGTTTGGCAGAAATAGTCCAACTTGCTATGAATCAAATGATTGTCATAGGTATCTTCCAAAATGTCCACCTTCATTAAAGTGGAATTGCGACCACGCAGCATGTCTACAAAGGTGGAGACGCTGCGTCTTGTAATGGCTGTATTCCCCGTCAAATAGAGTTTCTTGAGACAAGCATTGGATTGGAGCGTGTGTGCAAGCGCCAGGATGCTCTTGTTGGAGAGATTGTTGGAACACAAATGTAGTTCCTCCAAGCATGAACTACCAACTGTATTGATCCCATCATTACTTCGCAATGCTGGAAGCAGTAGTTCGACGCCTTCATCGCCCAAATCGTTATGGTTTAGACGGAGTGTCTTCAGTTGGGTTTGGTGCAGTTTCTGTCCAATCACACGGACGCACTCGGAGCTAACAAGATTGGCACAAATGGATAGTTCAACGAGAGCGGACTTGGGATTGCTGATCATGGCATCAAGAATGGCATTTACACCATCTCGTTGAATGGAGTTACAGTCCAATTGCAAAACTTGAAGGGACTCGTTCTGAGCAATTCCTTGTGCGAGAATTTGAGCCCCACGAGAATCAATTCCATTCATTTTAAGATTCAGCGTTTGGATTTCACAGGACGGCTGCGAAAGATACTTTGCCAGAATTTTCATCGACGAGTATCCATTCTTGCTACTGTTGCTACCAAGGTCACAGTCGGACAAATGTACATCTTGGATGGTGTGAAGCCGACCTGTACGAAACAACGATTCAAACCCGCCACTGCCAATTCCGAGTGGGTTTCCGCAGAGCTTGAGCTCTTCCAGTTGTGGCGACAGTGGGGCAAGTTGTTGAGCCAGCATTTCCAAAACTGAAGCACTTGTTCCGATTCCATTCCAACATAAACTTAAGGATTTCAAGGAAGACTCTGAGTTAGTTGATTGCGTCGTTGAACTAGTAGTTCTTGGTCGCAGTAGCTTCCGAGCAGCAGGTTTGGCATCTTTTGAAAAAGATTGGAGCAAAGTTTGCAGTGCTTTTGGATCTCGGTTGCATTGATTGTGGTGCAATGAGAGGGATCTTGGAGACAATGGGGGCGATGATTCTTCAGATGATATTGATGACGCCGAATCATTGCTGCAAATGCCATTGGATATTTCATTGGCCATGTTGATTCTCGACCAGTGTCGATTTACTGCCCTTACAACTTTCTTTGTCAATGGTAAGCTATGAATCACGATATGTGGGTTCATGGGATGTCCATATTCGCAATCCTTGGTAATTGAATCGCTGTCGTCACTCGACTGGCTTTTGCTTCGGACAGACATTGCTTTCCTCTGATTTTTCGTGCCTGTTGACTGTAGTGGCCCTGTTCGGTTACTATTCGATTCGTTGTTAGAAGGGCGCCCTTCAGCTTGATCTGTCAGTTCCCCATTCTTGTCATGGAATTCACTTTTTCTTCGACCAATCCGTGTTGACCTGGAACGTCGTCGTCGTGAATTCCCGGATGACATGTGAGAATGGGCGGCATTGTTCGAAGAAGAAGATGGGGACTCTTGATGAGAATCAGATCCGAAACGTCGTTGGAAGATACCTTTGATTCTCAACCACCACTTTATTGACTTGTGGTTGCGGCAGTTGCTTGGCAATGATGCCTCTGACACCCGCTTGGCATTGCTCTCATTCTCAACTGAAACTGGTTCGTTGCTTGACCATGCAAGGCTTGGACTCTCTTGGATGCCATCTACCCGAAGATGCATCTGTATGTATCTACCTAACTTCAGATTGAACTAATGACTTCAGATTTCGCTATTCGCGGCCAACGTAGAAAGTAGAAAGTGGCTGTGGCAAAATAGTGGCAACCTCCAATTTCTTGAGGACAGAATAAAAGGTGCAAGAAAGGAGAAACTCGTCGGCATTTCTGAAATTTTCGTATGTTGATTTTGTACCGTAATGCTTCACCACCAAGTTTGAAAGTACGATGTCAGACCCGTTAATCGGAATAAGCTTGACCAAAACGACTACCAGGTATGGGCGACCATGATACTACAGAGAGTACTGTATGTTTCATATTTTTACACTGTCCTGTAGGTTGTAGGTGTTGGGCAAAGTTTATTCCAGGTTTAGTCTAGTCTCTTAACACGTAGCTTGCTGTTGGACAATTCCAATGCACAGTATATGGCCTCTTGTCACTTGAAACCCAGTAGAAACTTCGACATGCAATGCACCATAATCCCGTTACAGTACCAAAGCCAGATGCGCTCGCCTTCTACTTCTCTTCATGTCAGGATGAGAAAGATGAATCGCTCAGACGCGCGTGGGGGGAGGGGTGCGCTTTGCTTGTATAACACGCAATTAACAACCCAGGACACACTCCTTTTCAAGATGATACCCAAACACCTCTTTCTTCACTTCACTTCACTTCACCTAACTTCGACTCCAGTGCTTTCACTTTCCCCGCGGCTCCCCAGTCCTTGTACCATTTGATTGCAGTCGTCAACGTCTTCTTTGACTCTTCTACATTGGAACAAAGATCCAGAAGGAAATCAGCATAGCGTTCATTCAACAAACCTGCATGATGCAAGTGACCAGCACCAGTCGCCGCATTGATCGCAGCTTCGTACTTGAGCTGAGCCTCGTCCAACTTCTTGTCCAATGCCAACTGCTCGGCTGTCAAGAACAAATCGAAATACTCGACGTTCGGATTGCCTGCTTTCGCCCAGCTTGAAATCTTCGTTCGTACCTTTTTCGCATGAACTTTGTACTTCTCCTTCTTAGTCTTCAGGGCTGCGGCGTACAAAGCCACAGCTCGGTGAAAAGTCTCGATCATAATAGTGTAGGTTCCAGGTACCAATTCGGTGTGAACTTCTCCCAGCACAATCGCTCTGTCGGCGGCAGCAACATAGTCGCCGTGAAACAACACAAGCTCGCCTTCGGCATAATGTGAAATGGCGAGATGGACCTTTGCCTCCTCCTCGTCATTTGCTTTGCTGAAGATATCGCCTTCCAGCTTGGAAGGATCAGGACAGGAAGGATCACTCAAGTTCGATAGCATTTGCATCAGGACGCGCATGTCCAAGACATGGATTTCAGAAGCAGCCTCTTCAAATTGGATCATGGCCTTGGGGCACTCTTGGAGAATCTGCGCCAGTGGCTTACCAAGAACATACGGTACCATCGCCACATACGATAGAAGATTCCAACAGGCAAACTCTGTTTCTCCTGCTCGCAGAGCTTTCTTGTATCCATCGATCAGTGGCGCAGAACAAGATTCCAATGGTTGAAACCAAGCCAGGCCATGAGCGTATGCCAGGTAGGTCGTCTCGCCACTTCGCATTCGCCCAAACTTTGCGAGCATGGAAAGTGCGATCTTGATGTATTCAACGGCTTTGGCAGGGTCCTTGTTCAAAAGAAGCATAACATTTCCCATTGAAGCAATGCTCTTAGCGGAGAATTCGTTGATGCCTTGCTCTAAAGTCATTTCTACCAGCTTGCAAATGCCAACGAAGAGCAGGGGAATATTACCAGAATGATAGGACATATACACGATCATCGACAAGAGACTAGCAATAGCCTTTTGGCGTTTGTCTTTGATGACGACCATAGACTCGAAGGAGCCTTCTGGTACCTTCTCCATCTTCCGAATGGTTCGTAGGACCATCGTCAGACCTTGGACCGGTAACAGGAATCTTGGCCAGGTCAATTTGCAACCCATTTCTCTCAACAGCTTCAAGCAGTATTCGACAGATTCGTTGAACTTAAGTTCCATCATCGAGAGGCACTTCGCTCGTACCATCTTCAGCGGGAGAGTTTCCATTGTTGATAGCTCTGACCGACCCAGTACCACATCACAGTATTGATCTGCTACAGTGATGCTTCCCGCCAGAAGGTTCATCTCGGCCCCTATGGTGTACAACTGCAAAGCCAGTAGACGGTTTTCCGTCCACTTAGTGGAGTCATCCAAAAGCTCGATCCCGTGGGCCGCGTACTTTGCTGCGGATTCGAAGGCCGAAATGCTTCGTGCCTTCTTTGCAGCTCTAATGTTCGCAAGCGCAAACTGGGATCTCTTGTTAATGTTCCCTCGATTAATGAGATCCACCACGTTAAACAAGTCCTCTTCCAAGTACTCATCTTCCAAGCAATAGTACAAAGTTGTACCAATGTCCAACTGAAGTGACTCGCGATGCTTCCCTGTCAAGCATAGTGCTGCCTCTTGCACTTTGTCGTGTACCCATCGGTAGTGTTTCTCGCCGAATGGTTCCAAAAAGTCGTCTTGAACAAGCCTTGGAAGTAGCTCCGAAATTTTTTCAATCTTTGATCCGACCAGTCTTCGACCGTGGTGATCCCAAACCGTATCGAGTGTTGGCTCGGAGAAAGAGGACCCACAGTACGCGGCAATCTGAAGGAGAACTTGAACTTGGTTGGACAGCTTCCTCATGCGATCGTGTAGCAGGACAACAACATTGGCAGTGGACATGGTTGCGTCTTCGATCTTGTCCATATCCCAAGTCCAGTGTTTCGAGGACGAGTTGTACGAAACGAGTCCTTCGTGGTGAAGCATTTTGAGGAATTCAAAGACGAAGAAGGGATTCCCCAGGGTTCTCTTGATACAGATCAATGCCAGTCTTAAACCCTGTTCCGCAGTCTCAGGCGCCAAGGTAGTGGCAATAATCTTCTCGACGGTGGCAGCATCGAATGCTTTGATTTCCATTTCTGTAACGCGGAAACTGAACTTGGTTGCCTTCTCTCTGAAAGCAACTATCTTGTTGAAGAGCAAGCTGTTCTCATTGGCTTCTTCAGACCTGTAGCTTCCGATGATCATCATAGCATTTGAGTTTTGGGTATCTGAGATCAAATAGTCCAATACTTGAAGTGATGAGATGTCCGCCCATTGCAAGTCATCTAATAAGATGATCATAGGAGAAAAGACAGCACCAAAGACCCTAGCCAGCACTCGAAATGCATAACGTAGCTGATCCATGCCATTTTCAAAAGCATCCATATCAAAAGATGATGATTTGGTGGATTGGTTTTGGTCATCATTCATAAGGCCCTCCAGCTCCGGGAGCAGGTGCATCAGGAGTTGCACTTCCTTCCCCAGTCCATCTTTCAATTCTTGTTGAATCTCAGCAATGGATTCCTGCTTGCCTTTCTTGATATTGCGGCAGATTTTGTCAAATGCCTTGGATACACCTGAGTACGGCTCGTCCATGGTATTCATTTCAAACTTGCCGTCGATAAAGATTCCATTGTAGTTGCTATTATCACGTTGTTCTTGATTGACATCATGCTCGACTATCCTGGCGACTGAAGACTTGCCAACTCCACTTGGCCCTTCAAGTATTCATCACAGTGAGAAATAGAAAAGTCGAGAGTTGATAGCAATTAAAAAGAGATTGCTCACCTTTGATAAACACCAGCTCCTTGAATGGTCCACTTTCCTTGCTGCCATTGCTATCTGGAGAATCTGTCACCATGAGGTTTGCCAAACAAGAACGGAGAGTTGATTCTTCGGTTTCGCGGCCAATCAATCCCATGGAAGCAAAGTCCAAATTGCCGCTACTAGAGCTACCCTGCTGATAACGCATTGCAATTGCAGCAGTGGTCTTTGGCTTTCTCAATTCAGAAGTCTTCATGGAACTTGAAAGAGACTGCAACTCAGAAGAACGAGAGGACGTCGTGTTGACAGTTCCATTGCGAGAAATGGAAAGGGTTTCTGTTGATTCAGGATCTAACGAAAGTAGTGCATCCTCATCTCCAAAGGTAGAAGGCAAATCCTCGTTTTCATCCGTAATGGAAGATGGTGGAGGAGCCACCTCATGATGCACTGACTCGATCATACTGATAGATTCATTACCGTATCCTTCAATCGTTCAGATTAAATATGTATATCAGCACCAGATTCTAGCGTGCAGGAAAGATTGAGAAAAGATGTGGATTGTAATGATCTGATAATCAACAAGTTGCGGTTGAAACTTTAGATTATTATTATTGTGGAAAGCAAGCGTCGTATTTTCGTTACGAAAACATCTGGTGCAGTAGCACTATTTATTCCGTGCGGTCTTTCGTTCTACTCTTTCGCTTTTTGTCCGGCCTGTGAAATTCTGAAAATTCTTGACCAAATCGACCACAAACATTTGATGTGTTGCAAGTTGGTATCGGTATACATTATTCCAAACCTAATGCTCGTAGGAAGGATGAAATGATAATGCTACACCAAACCAGCTGACACTTCTGGCCCTTGAGTGTTCTCAGCAACAGTAAGAACAAAGGAATCAACAATAATCAATTTGTTCAACACGAGCAACGAGTATGGACTACTGTACTTGTGATTGCACGAAGGGTTCCAATGAGACTGCTCTAAAGAGCGATCACTGCTACATATTATCAAGAGAAAAGATAACATGTGAATAGATTTCAGTCGTTGTTGGAACCTGCAGACAGCTTCAAATCGACAAACATTCTAGTAGTGATTTTGTTAGTAATATATTACTTAGCGATTTCTCACGTGGCAAGACTAAGATTGAGCCTCAAATTCATATTTGAGGCTTGAATTTGAGGCTCGATCTGCACGAGAATGAAGACTTTCAAAAATCACATCTTTTGCTCACAAATCTATTTTCGAACAAACTGTAACATCTTCACCAGCAATTAAACCAAGCATTGAGACATGACATCTGAAGAAAAGACGGCTTACAAGAACAAGAGCCACACCAAGGGCCACGAAAAGAAGCACAGCAAGTTCCATCAGAAAAGTCACAAAGATCCACCAGGATTCGTTGACGACATTGAAATGAACCATGAAACGTCAGTTCCAAGGGAAAATGATCCTTTCGCTCCAAGAGGTGGCAAAGCTCTTCTCTGGCAGAACATCAACATGACCTTGGTAAGTTTGCAGTATCGCCTTGTTTGCATTGCCTTGCAGAGAATTCCGTCTGATTCATCATCATTTCCAATGCAAAACAGAAAGGAAAGGACGGTGTCGAGGACAGGCACCTCCTTAAGGATGTCTGGGGAGGAGTACCTCAGAAGCAAACAACTGCCATCATGGGCCCTTCTGGTGCTGGAAAGACAAGTTTGTTGAACATCCTTGCCGGTCGAGCCAAGTCTCGTGGAGCCCTTTCCGTCGAGTCTGACATCCGCTTGAACAACTACCAAGTCGATCCCACCGACATTTCGGTGCGAAAGAATATCGCCTTTGTCGCTCAGGATGATTCTCTCATGGTGACTCAAACTCCACGTGAAGCCATTTACTTCTCCGCCAAGCTTCGTTTGCCCAAATCGACCAAAGAGGAAGAGATCCTCAACCTTGTTGACAGCATGCTAGAAGAGCTTGGGTTGTCACACTGCGCGGATACCATTGTTGGCGGACCTTTACTAAAGGGAATCTCTGGTGGCGAGCGCAAGAGAACTTCTGTTGGTGTGGAATTGGTTACCAAGCCGAGCATGGTTTTCTTAGACGAGCCAACATCTGGACTCGATAGCTACAGTGCCGTCCAGCTTTGCAATGTCCTCCGAAAGGTTGCCAACGCCGGCGCCAGCGTCTTGTTTACCATCCATCAACCAGCATCGGAGATCTTTAACGCGTTTGACAACATCATCTTGATGAACAAGGGCCGCGTCATGTACCAAGGATCAGTTGACGTTGTGCCTGAGTTCTTCAAGGAACGTGGACAAAAGATCCCCAAGAACTACAATCCAGCCGATTGGATCATGCACGTTGCTCAGGCTGTTGATTTGGATCAATTGGATGCTGACGGCTTTTTCCCCAAGGACACTCGTGTGTTGGGAGAACCACTAAGATCAGGCATCGACAAAAAGAAAAACTTTGGTCTTTCAATGACACGCCGCACAATCTCTAGTGGACACGGCGATGATAGCAGTAAAACCATCAGTTTTGATGCCGCAGTTGTAGAACAAGGTATTCTTTCCAACAACGGCAGCTTTGAAAGGGTTTCGGTGATGACACAAACGCGAATGATGTTCGTTCGTGAGTTCAAGAACTTGAAGCGAGACAAGGGCGCTCTTGTCGGGCGCCTTGGATTCACAACGGCTATCGCGACTCTCATTGGCGTTGTCTTCTGGAAGGTCGGTGAACTTCCACGTGATGTTCCAATGGTAAGTTGCATACAACGCTCAAGGTTACAGCCTCACACCTTGCCCAAATCCGAAACTCACAATCGTCTCATGCTCCTCCTCTAATCCCAAAGAATCTCAACAGTCAGTTTGGTGCACTGACAATGGTACTCATGGCAGGAATGATGGGAACGGCCCAACCGGCCCTTCTTACCTTTCCTCAAGAACGCCCGGTCTTCCTTCGAGAGTACTCGACCAACCATTACTCGGTTGTCTCCTACTTTTTGTCTCGCCTGACCATTGAAGTTTTGGTTACTGCTCTACAATGTTTCCTCCTGGTTTTGGTTTCATTCTTGATGGTTGGATTGCAGTCGAATTTCATGTTCTTCTTTATCAACACCTACGCCCTTGCAATGGTCAGCACGGCCCTCGCTGTCATGCTTGGATGTTCTGTCGAGGATCCCAAGCTTGCTACACAAATGATGCCCCTTGTCTTTATTCCCCAACTCTTGCTTGCTGGCTTCTTTATCAGTCCTACTTTGATTCCTGCATGGCTCCGCTGGTTACGATGGGCGTTCAGCCTAACCTACGTGATGCGCCTTGGTGTCCTCGAAGAATTCAGTGACTGCCAAGGAGAGAAAGCTTCCATGGCTTGCGATGGTCTGATTAATTCCATCGAAGCAGATTCCGATGAGTCATGGTGGTATTGGTTGACCCTCGCGGTGCTCTTTGTTGTCTTTCGCTTGCTTGCCCTCTTCATTCTACGACGCAAGGCAACCAAGTTTCTCTAAATCAACATTCTGCAGCCAGAAGTGTCCACATATTTGGCTCAGGATCTCTAGAATGTAACAGCTCTAAAACATATTACTTGTATTGAATCAAATATTTCACAGCAGCAGGTGTCATGCTTCTGTCCTTTCCCTCTACGATGGTTCATTCATATGGCATTGTGTTTCGCACTTTTGCTTTCATGTGAAAAAGCTGACAAAGTGTCCGTGTTTTAGTCGAACGTTTCCACGGACCCTTTGGGTTCGCAACCCAAACACCAACAGTCATTTTACAACACTGTGAATCCGACACCATGATGGGGTTGACACAGGGAGGAATGCTTCTTCAAATTCTGTTCATTGCTTTATTCTATTGTTCCCAGCACCTCGTTTCGGCTGCCAATCCGGATCAGCATGAGAATTGTGAATTCTGGGCCAACAGTGGTGAATGCGAAAGCAACCCAAAATTTATGTTGGAGAACTGCGGGACGAGCTGTGAGACCGTTGCCGCCCAAAAGCTCGAAGACGCACAAGCTTTGGCCAAGATTGGATCCTTTTTCGATTTGACTGCCAAGGATATCAAGGGAGATGTCATTGATTTCAAACAATTTCAAGGTGATGTTACGATTGTCGTCAATGTTGCGTCATATTGTGGATATACCGATTCGCATTACAAGGCTGTAAGTATTCGAGTACATCTCCTGTATGTTGACTATCAGAACGTTCCGTCAACTCAATTTCATTCGTCTCTTTTCGATTTACTTAAAAAAACAGTTGGTCCAAATGTGGAAGTATCTTTCGATTACCGACCAAGTTCATCTGCTAGCGTTTCCCTGTAACCAATTCGGTGGCCAAGAACCCGATTCAAACGAAGAGATTCAAGACTTTGTGACCTCTAACTATGGAGTCAAGTTTACGATGATGGACAAGGTCGATGTGAATGGTCCCAATGCCAGTATGGTCTTCAAGTACCTCAAATCGCAGGCAAACATTGGAAATATTGGCTGGAACTTTGCTACCTATTTTGTAGTAGACAAGGAAGGAGGCGTCACAGCCCATTCTGATTTGAATGGCAATGAAGATTTCATGGAACTTCGGAAATCTGTCTTGCGTTTGGCAGATTGGCAAGAGCTCTAACAGAAAAGTTTTGAGAATTAGTCTCCACCAACACGTACCTGATTTGAACTAATATGTGAGCAACATAGACTGCTTTCGACCAAAGAACATTTTTCATTTTTCATATCATATTCTGGTCTTGTTCTTCTCAATACTAGTACTACTATTGTTTTCTTTTTCTTGTATTACAACTATCTTTTAACTAGTATGTAGAATTCATATGAACTTCTCTAGTCATCCCAAAAAAATAATTCCCAATTCCCAGTAGTATTACAACGCAATCTCTTTGCGAACTCGCCCCCTCGAATCGACGACTGTCGTGGTAGTTCCCGGTCGCCGACTATGACTGTGGTGATATTGATCGTCAAACTCCTGCCTAGTCTGTCCTCGCGGGGTGGCCCAGTCTGGCAAGGATTGATGTAAAATGTCTTGAGGAGAATAGGATGGCAATCGGTGCGTCACGTGGGCGTGATCCAGCGAATAGTTGTTGTAGCCACCCCCACCAGTGTAGCTTTCCGTAATGCTGCTTGCGCCATACGGTGCATGCGCGTCCGTTGGCTGATAATCTCGATACGAAAGCCGGGGTGGAGAAGTTGGAGTCTCGTAGGTTCTGCGTGGTGGTTCCTGCGGTGTGACGCTCATGAAACGTGGATCATTGGCAGCAGCAGCACCTCCTGGAGTAAATTGATAATAGTCATTTCCAGTGGATTGGACCCGGCGATGCGCCATGGGTTCGCGGGCGTTTTGCGGTGTCTGCAGTGGCATGACTGCCTTTTCAATATCAATGGGAAGAATGCCCATTCTCGAAAAGGATGATTCTTGTGGTGGAGGCGAAGATATTGGCGGAAGTGCTAAAGGTGCTGCTCCGTCCGAATACTCGTAGGGCATTTGCCGAGCGTAGGATTCGTCATAAGAATTGGATCGAACCTCTCGAGCAGTAGGCAGATGCTTATTTTTATTATGAGCCTCTTCTTCATCTTCCTCCGACTCCATGGTGAAAGTGTTGTTATTGATGTTATTGTGTCCATCTTCATTCCTGGTGGACTTCTTCTCAACAAAGGTTTCCCCTTCGTTTTCCTTGAGAATGTTGCTGTAAACATAATAGAAAAAGAAACATATAGAAAGGAGCAACCACAATCCCAAAAAGATCAAGACGTAGCCCCAAACGGTAATGGCTCCTAAGCCAATACCGGACGCCGATGTCTGGGTAGATGTGTCTCCAAAAATGGGCTCTCCCACGTAACCCACCTTTGTCACTTGGATGCCGCCCACAAAGTCAGTAACTCCAGTCCCATCGTCCAGCATGATAGAGGCCAACGAGTCACTCATCCATTGAGCATACCATCCTTCAAACATGTCGGCCGCAAGGGCTGGCAAGATATGTTTACCCACTTTGGTGTCCACGGATCCCAAAATCGCGGTATTGTTGACACCAATCAAAAGGGATCCTAGATATCGTGTACACGATCGTGACTCCACCATTGTTTGGTTGCAAGAACCCCAAACTTCATCGTCCTTGCCGGAGGAAATCGAGATTACTTCGAGCACAGGTTGGTAAAAGGTAACTCCACAAGCCTTTTCTTGTAGTCTCTCCAAAAGAGCCGTGGACATGGTTTCGGGAAACACCGTCGATTTTAGAAATTTCAATTGTTGTTCTTGCAATGTTTGCTGTCGGACAGTCAGATAGGACGAAGGCGTCATGGTAACGTTCGTCTCAATGTCATACAAAAATTGCAAGGTTGCAAACCCCGCTTGTGTTATTCCACTCCCACAGGATCGGTAATTAAAGGCATCATCGGCATTATTCGCGGCCAGACTGTTGGAGGAAGTCTCTCCAAGATCATCTCCAAAATCAACCCGACTAGGAACTTGCCCACCGACAAACTCTGAATTGACTTTTTGCTGCATTCGGCGTTGTTCTTGTGAATTCATTTGTTGGTTTAGCTCTAAATCAACGGAAGCGCTAGCATTCGGAAGACTAGCTGCTGCTGCCAAACAAAGAAAGGTTGATAGCGATGACATCATTTTCTTTTTCTTTTTTATTGTTGAGGTTGACACCGTCATGGTATGAATGCTCTGAATGCTTTGTCTCTGGCTTCGTCGCCAACGAGGATTGCTAGATAGGTCTTTGATCGGAGGCAAGGACCGTTGACAGTGTAATTCGTTAGATGCTAGCTGGTGCTGTTTCGCCATGGTCGGCTTGCGGAGTAACGTTCACAAGACTCCCCCAAAATTTCGTCGGATCCTATTGGACTTCCCGCCAAAATGTTGGTCCGAGTAGTCGATCTGAAACAGCGTTCGCCCGTCACTCCGACAGGCCATCAGAGATGAGACGTAGACAACATCATCGTAACCTTCAGTAATCGATACAGCCCCTTTCAGTGAAAAACAAGTCTCGAAAGGTACCGATTCAAAAAAGCATACTTCATTTAGACTCAATTCAAATCGTCGCAAGAAGAGACAGAGGAAAAAATATGCTTGCATCCTCTAGACGGGGAGGATTGCAGGCCTCTCGATCCATCACCAGAGGAAGCAGGGTTGAAATGAATGCACAGCATAGATCATCGTCAACCACATCATCATCGTCTCGGCTAGTTGTCTCCCGCCGTGCCTGGCAAGCCCATACCAAGACACTACCATCAAGACCCAAAGCAACGAAAAAAAAGGCCGACGAAAAACCATGGCCCCGCGAATATCAGCTGGCTGGGTATGCTGCGGCTGCCATTTTCATTCCGTACAGTCTACTTTGGTTTGCCTTGTCGAATCCAACGGCAAGAGAGCAAATGGAGGAAATTGCTCCTGGTTTGGTGGACAGCCCGCGAATGCGAAAACATTTTGGAGAATTGGAGTGGGATGTTCAAGCCTATGGTGACAAAGACGAAGGGATCATTCCAGCGTTCTACCATTATCCTGGAGAAAGCGGTTACAGAGAACGACAAAAAGAGGCTACCGTTCAAGAGCGCAACAAGGCACAAGTAGAGGCAAATTTGTATCTGCAATCTGATGAAACGAGCAGTGTGGAAACCAAGAAAGTGGCCGCCTCCACTTTGGCCAATCCAGAATGTCTCAAGCAAGCCTTTGGGGTTGCGAACGACTACTCGGAAGCCAAGGTGGCTTTGGAATTTCCAAGTGATGATGAGGATGATGGTGGATCTGCTGAAAGCACCAGCGGTGGCGAGCTTTCGCTGTCGGATCAACTATCCACTGACTTTGTCGAGGAAGATCCCACTTTGAGACTCAGACAAGAGCATCACACCTTTTCCAGTTGGCACTATATTCCAACCCTATCAGCGGAAGAGAAAAAGGCTCAAGCACAGAGTCAAAGCATGTCGGACTTGGATGTGGATATTGCCCGATTAGAGTACACCATTGGTGAAGTGGAAAGAGATATGAAAGATCCTAATTGTACCAAGGATCGGGATACGATGGATGAGGATCGCAGCAAGGCAAGATCGGAATTGAGAAAGCTCAAATGGAGAAGGCGGCTAGGAATCAAGTAAGAAAGCTAATAAATATCATTGCATATGCAGTCATGTATGTACTAGGTAAACAATGTATCAATTCATCATAACTCCTTGTAGCGTTTTATGCGTGGACTGTGAGCCAGTCGGTCATTCGATCCAAACGAATCATAGCAAAAACATGTAGGTACATGGTACATACACTAGATTCATTTCTTTGCAACTCATAGTTGTAATTACCAGGTAGTTAGGAATAAGTGACCCTATCATTTGTTTCAAATAGTTCTATTTTGGTGTTATTAGTAGTATTTAGCTTAGCTCATGACTTTCAGCGGATTGTGTATTTGCTCGTGTCTACAGTACAGCGATGATCCATTCCAGGATCATTTGGAGGAGGGAGGTTTCTTGCCACTCATTACCGCCGATAACCCCCCAATGGCTTCGATTTTGGCATTGTACTCATCAGATGATCTCCATGATTCTCCCATGGTCCATGCTAGATCCTCGTCGAATATCTGTCGCTCCAATTGTGCGTCCTCTTCTTCAATTTGAACTAGTCGTGTGACACGATCTAATCGATAAGGAACACCACGTTGGTTGCCATAAATAAAAGCACCAGATTCCGGATCCAGACCTCGATCATTAATGTAAAAGGTGTCTTCATAAAGAGACAGCTGATCCAAAATTCGAATCTTGACTCCTGGTATCATGGTGGAATCCACAATGGCTTCCCCATGAACCATGATTGCATGAATAGAATCCTGCTTTTTATTGTCCAGCTTGGACATGTTGTCATGGTCCAAGGTGTAGGCATGTTCCACTGGATCCATGTCCACTGACCATCGAATTTCACAATTCGGTAGGTACTTGATCTTGTCAGCCTCATTTATTTCAAAGGAATGAAACATGGCTGGCCATTTCAATGGTTCATCTGAGCAAGATCGTAGCTCCCGCTCCAACTCTGGATTCAGTGTATATAACTTCATTTCGATGTCACCACAGCTTATATCATTCGTGTCATCTTCGGCTGTCATTAAAAGTTCATAATAGCGGAACCGGAATATGCGTTGTGGATTTCCGTCAAAATAGAAAGCGGCTAGTCTAGATGTCTCGGAAAGAGGAACCAAAGTGCAGTGGAAGTTCTCGTGACCGCCACCTTCCCTCGGGGTCAACTTTTCCTTTCGGTCATCGAGTACTTGTCGATAGTTGTCAAAGTCGCCCTGAAAGTGATGCAATAAATGCTTGTACACGGTATGCCTTTGCGAAGGCTGAGAATTTTGGTCGTCGTCCTCTTTCTTGTTTCGATTGGCAACCGCATTAAGTGATGTGCTGAACCGACATTTTAATGTTGTCTTAAAGTTTGTTTGATACTGAGCCGTTGTTCCTTGTGGTGATGTGAAACTGAGGCTTTTTCCAAATGACCAACTTGCAAGCGTTGCCCATAATAACGCTGTTTTAGCAACCATTCTTTGTTTGAAAATGCCGGTACAAAATTCTCGACGTTTAGCAGTCGACAGTTGAATGAACGAAGGTGCGAAACGGGACAAACATGTAGTGGACTAGTTGTTGACTTGAAGTTCGAATTGTTCGAATTGGTCAATAGCCTGACCTCCGCCTTCGCTTCGTGGGAAGACAGACAACGGAGTTCTGTTTGGAAAATAAATGGCCTATTTTTGACACAATCGACCAGAATGAAAATTCTGCTCATGAATGGCTTTTGAGTCGTCACTCTTTGTTCCGGAAAATTAGATTGTTTCGCTAGGGAATCTTTTCGGGAGTGAGCGAGAATCGGGCAAAGTCTGGGGAAACATGTCAATATGATTGGTCAAATGGGACGCCGAAACAGACCGATGATACAGAACGGAGAAATATGCATCCCTTCACTTGGAGCAATCTCCCGTAAGTACCGAAAAGCCATTTTGATGACCGCCACCTGAACATTGTTCTTTCTGACTCATGCCAAAATGTCCTACCAACATTTGCGTGTGAAGTCCCATTACAGCTTCAACTTCTATATAGTCTTGGGTAGGTCCTTTCTCACATCACTGTAAGTGTCGGCAAATAGGTCATTATTTATGTGTTCCATTTGCCGCTCCAATTACGTGTTCGAAATTCCCCCGGTCCCATTCCACTAAAGTGAATTCAGGGCAAGCAAAAAGAACAGGCTCATAAAAACAAAATCTCATAAAAACATCATGAACATCAGCTACCCCAACCACGGCCCCATGAGCCCAATGCAATCATACTCCAATGTGCGAGCGATGGACACCGATGAGATGCCACGAAAGAAGCTTCGCGCTGCGTCAAAGATGGACACAGTGTCTGTTCTTAATGAAATCGGTATCTCTAGCTTTCAAAATGGTGATTACGAGAAATCAGAACTGTGTTTCTCTCAAGCACTTTGCCGAATGGATGTCGACCAACTTGTCGGTCATATGGAATCTAAGGTCTCCAAGAAGGTTTCCAACGATTTTCTCAACTTGATGTTGCCAAATGGCGATTCTGAAGACGAAGACATCACCGGCTCAGAATCACGAACTGACTACGACGAAGGCATGAGAGTCTACAACGGTCCACTACAACTTCAAGACAACTTCAGCCAAGACAAAGCTGCCCCTACCCTGGCCTACAATATCGCCCAAACTTATATCCACCGAGGCCAAAGTCGCATCGCAAAGTCGTGGTTGCAGCGAGCACTTGTCAATATCCAAAGTGGCGACAGTTCCATTGCCAGTTTGACTGTTAAGATCTTGAACTGCCTTGGATACTGCTATTACAAGGTCGGCAACGATGAAAAATGTTTGGTTCTCTACACTCAAGCTCTTTCAATTGTTGTTTCAAACAACCTGGGAAACATGTACCTGGCACCAGCCTTGAACTGCTGTGGAGTCGTTTACTTCAACATGGAAGTTTGCAACGCGAACAAGGCTATGGAACTCTTCTGCCAGAGCTTGGAAGCCTACCGTGCTTGGTCGACTCTTGATCTTTGCTCCATTGGAACTGTCCTCAATAACATCGGACGCGTCTATTACTTGCAAAAGGACTTCTCCGATGCCCTTCAGATTTACCAAGAGTCTTTGAACATTCGCAAGGTTCTATTGGGCAAGGATGACATTGATGTGGCTGCTACCTTGTACAACATTGGTCAAACTTGTCATCAGCTTGGAAAGTTGAACGAATCTATCAAACATTATAACCAATATGTGGAGATCGCCAAGGAAGTCTTTGGTGAGGATTCCAAGGATGTTGCTCTTGCCTTCAAAGGAATCGCCGAGATTCACCACGAACGCGGCGACTTGGAGATGGCATTGGACTACTACAATCGAGCCTACGAAGCACAATCTGCGTCCTGTGGTGACTTCTCTGCCGATGTTGCCACCACTTTGAACAAAATGGGAAACTTGAGTTATGAAATGAAGCAATTCCAAACCGCCATGAAGCACTATCAACAAGGATTGCAGATCGAATCCAGTGTCTTGGCTCCCAACCACCCCCATGTCATCATCACTCTTACCAACATTGCCCACATCCACAAGCAAATGGGACAACACGCCCAAGCCTTGGAAGCGTACAAGAAGGTCTTGAAGATGCAAAAGAAGAACGTTGGTGAGGATGCTATGCAATTGGCCGAGACATACTCCAGCATTGGATTGATGCAATACCACATGCACGACTATGGGTCCGCCTTTGAATCGTATCAAGTTGCTCTTCGCATCCGCCGGGAAAACCTTGGGAAGGATGATCACCAAGACATTGCTTCCACCTTGAACTCTATTGGATTGGTCCTTTTCAAGCAAGAGATGTACGAACTTGCCAAGAAGTGCTTTCACGAAAGCTTGCGAATCCGCACAAAGATCTTGGGAAAAGATCACCGCGATGTTGCCATTTTGTGGTACAACATTGCCACCATCCACTTTGAGACTGGCGAAGACGATCTTGCTGTTCGAATGTACAAAGAAACCTTGCGAGTCGAAGTTGCTGCACTTGGAGCCGACCACCCCGATGTCGCATTGACCATGCAGCACTTGGGACAAGTCCACCAACAACTTGGCAAGATTGAAGAAGCCTTGGAATACTTCAAGGACGCTTTGGCCATTGAACGGAAGAGAAAGCAGTCCAAGACCAGCACTTTGGGAAGAATCCTGAATCTTATCGGAAACGCCTACTTGCAAATTGGGGCCACTGAGGAAATGATGGAATGCTATATTGAAGCTTCTCGGCTCTACGAAGCCAACGCGAACAGAACTCCCAATGAAACCTTGGTGATTGCAGGCTACAACTTTTACGCCTTGAGCAAGACCAACCCACCATGCTCCCCGGTCGCATAAACGACTATATAATAGGGAGACATTGTGTATCATATGGGGACATATTGTAAACTAATATTCAAATAATGTACAACTATTAATAACAACACAAGAGCAATTATAGAACATACATTGACTATCTAGTGGTAGTAGTAGCCTATTTTGCAATGGTTTTTCCGTTACAGAGCACCAGTCGGTTGCGTGCTATCCGGTGAAGAACGAAAGTAACACACATGTTGCATATACTGGCTACAGCGTAGTGTATCGAACTGCTGTTTCGAATGTAGTTACTTCGGCATTCGCAAAAGGGGAGTTCGTGAATCAATCCTGTATCCTGCATTTGCATTATGGGTGATGACTCCGGAAAACGTGCATTACCAATCGTGGGTGGGAGATAGACCGAAATTCACTTGGTACAATAGCAGTCATAAATGCAGGCCACGTGTACAGTATTGTAAAATCGGCCTCAGTCTCTAGTTGGAATGACTCCGCGTCTAGAGAAGCTTTGTGCCTTCGTCAGCAATGACTTTTACTAGTGAATAGGAAAAGGAAAAGGGACGGGTTCATAAAAACAAAATCTCATAAAAACATCATGAACATCAGCTACCCCAACCACGGCCCCATGAGCCCAATGCAATCATACTCCAATGTGCGAGCGATGGATACCGATGAGATGCCACGAAAGAAGCTTCGCGCTGCGTCAAAGATGGACACAGTGTCTGTTCTTAATGAAATCGGTATCTCTAGCTTTCAAAATGGTGATTACGAGAAATCAGAACTGTGTTTCTCTCAAGCACTTTGCCGAATGGATGTCGACCAACTTGTCGGTCATATGGAATCTAAGGTCTCCAAGAAGGTTTCCAACGATTTTCTCAACTTGATGTTGCCAAATGGCGATTCTGAAGACGAAGACATCACCGGCTCAGAATCACGAACTGACTACGACGAAGGCATGAGAGTCTACAACGGTCCACTACAACTTCAAGACAACTTCAGCCAAGACAAAGCTGCCCCTACCCTGGCCTACAATATCGCCCAAACTTATATCCACCGAGGCCAAAGTCGCATCGCAAAGTCGTGGTTGCAGCGAGCACTTGTCAATATCCAAAGTGGCGACAGTTCCATTGCCAGTTTGACTGTTAAGATCTTGAACTGCCTTGGATACTGCTATTACAAGGTCGGCAACGATGAAAAATGTTTGGTTCTCTACACTCAAGCTCTTTCAATTGTTGTTTCAAACAACCTGGGAAACATGTACCTGGCACCAGCCTTGAACTGCTGTGGAGTCGTTTACTTCAACATGGAAGTTTGCAACGCGAACAAGGCTATGGAACTCTTCTGCCAGAGCTTGGAAGCCTACCGTGCTTGGTCGACTCTTGATCTTTGCTCCATTGGAACTGTCCTCAATAACATCGGACGCGTCTATTACTTGCAAAAGGACTTCTCCGATGCCCTTCAGATTTACCAAGAGTCTTTGAACATTCGCAAGGTTCTATTGGGCAAGGATGACATTGATGTGGCTGCTACCTTGTACAACATTGGTCAAACTTGTCATCAGCTTGGAAAGTTGAACGAATCTATCAAACATTATAACCAATATGTGGAGATCGCCAAGGAAGTCTTTGGTGAGGATTCCAAGGATGTTGCTCTTGCCTTCAAAGGAATCGCCGAGATTCACCACGAACGCGGCGACTTGGAGATGGCATTGGACTACTACAATCGAGCCTACGAAGCACAATCTGCGTCCTGTGGTGACTTCTCTGCCGATGTTGCCACCACTTTGAACAAAATGGGAAACTTGAGTTATGAAATGAAGCAATTCCAAACCGCCATGAAGCACTATCAACAAGGATTGCAGATCGAATCCAGTGTCTTGGCTCCCAACCACCCCCATGTCATCATCACTCTTACCAACATTGCCCACATCCACAAGCAAATGGGACAACACGCCCAAGCCTTGGAAGCGTACAAGAAGGTCTTGAAGATGCAAAAGAAGAACGTTGGTGAGGATGCTATGCAATTGGCCGAGACATACTCCAGCATTGGATTGATGCAATACCACATGCACGACTATGGGTCCGCCTTTGAATCGTATCAAGTTGCTCTTCGCATCCGCCGGGAAAACCTTGGGAAGGATGATCACCAAGACATTGCTTCCACCTTGAACTCTATTGGATTGGTCCTTTTCAAGCAAGAGATGTACGAACTTGCCAAGAAGTGCTTTCACGAAAGCTTGCGAATCCGCACAAAGATCTTGGGAAAAGATCACCGCGATGTTGCCATTTTGTGGTACAACATTGCCACCATCCACTTTGAGACTGGCGAAGACGATCTTGCTGTTCGAATGTACAAAGAAACCTTGCGAGTCGAAGTTGCTGCACTTGGAGCCGACCACCCCGATGTCGCATTGACCATGCAGCACTTGGGACAAGTCCACCAACAACTTGGCAAGATTGAAGAAGCCTTGGAATACTTCAAGGACGCTTTGGCCATTGAACGGAAGAGAAAGCAGTCCAAGACCAGCACTTTGGGAAGAATCCTGAATCTTATCGGAAACGCCTACTTGCAAATTGGGGCCACTGAGGAAATGATGGAATGCTATATTGAAGCTTCTCGGCTCTACGAAGCCAACGCGAACAGAACTCCCAATGAAACCTTGGTGATTGCAGGCTACAACTTTTACGCCTTGAGCAAGACCAACCCACCATGCTCCCCGGTCGCATAAACGACTATATAATAGGGAGACATTGTGTATCATATGGGGACATATTGTAAACTAATATTCAAATAATGTACAACTATTAATAACAACACAAGAGCAATTATAGAACATACATTGACTATCTAGTGGTAGTAGTAGCCTATTTTGCAATGGTTTTTCCGTTACAGAGCACCAGTCGGTTTCCTGTCATCCATTGAAAATCCAGTAATTATTGCATGTACTGGCTACAGCCCTGATTAGGGTATTGTATTAAGCTGCTATATCTAGATAGTAGCTGGTTACTAGTAATCGGGTGACAATAAAGGGGCTATTCAAGCTCGTGAACCTCATATATATCCTGCATTTGCATTGGACAATCAGTCGTGATCACTTTTCCGGTGAAGTTTTCGGCTGCGACAATATTCAATCGTGTTTGCTGAAAGACCGAAACTCACGCAGGATTCACGTGGCAGGAGTCATTCCCGCACTAGTCGGTATTGAAAAATCAAAAATGCATCCTGCTCAATTTGTCGTTAGAATGACTTTACATAATCTCTCGCGTCCAACGAAGCTTTGCGCAATTTGTCTCAATGACTTTTGCAAGGGCGATGTGCGGAGTGTTGATCCACCGTTGTAAACTGCCGGCACGCAAAGTCCTATGGGACCGTTGAAAGAACATATTCTGCTGACGATTTCCACATGGCGTGACGTCGCACAATGTCTCTCTCGCTCGGGGCAAACACGAAATAAAACTTCGGCAGTCGCACTGGTATGGTACGTACAAGAAAGTACCATACCCTACCTTCACTTGCCCTCACTATTGGTTCGCACACGTAAAGTGGTTCGTGATTTCCATTCGCAACGCGTTGGGCTCGGTTCCGATCATCGCCAGAGCACCAGTACGACGAAAGTACGTGGAAAACCGACGTGCGTGGGCGAATCACGAAAGGAACACGTTCGAGAAGTCGGAAGCAGTCTTTCTAGCGAAGCATGCAGTGTTCCACAAAAACTATCAAAATATCCATAGAGACTCCGAAACCAAAAAGCTTCCACCATGAGCATGAGTTCCGTAGACAACAGCGAAAGCATGAACAACAATACTGTATCCATTGATGAGACCCTTGCCACCATTGAGGTGATGCGTCGCCAAGAAGAGAATGCCTACACTGTATCTGATTATCTTTCTCGATTGCCTGCGAGTGTCACCGTGGAAGATCCCCCCGTAGACGCGCAGTGCCGAGTGATCATGCAAAAGTGGGGTAAAGAGATCGCTTCCTACTGTGGCTACAACACTGAGACTGTAGATATTGCCATGAACTGCTTGGATCGTTTCATGTGCACCACAGATGGCTTCTCCGTCCTCTTTGACCGCAGCCAATATCAGCTGGCTGTCATGACAGCGCTTTACACGACTGTCAAAATTCACGAACACGAAGCCATGGATCCTCAGCTGATTGCAAACCTCAGCCAAGGCGCACATAGTCCACAAGCTGTCGAAGCAATGGAAGTGCGAATGCTCCGTGCCCTCGAATGGAGAATGAACCCACCCACTCCCATGTCCTTTGTTTCCAAGATTCTCGATCTTGTTCCAGTTCACCTTATGGACGGAGACGAGCGTCAAGCCATCATGGACTTGACCAAGTTTCAGCTCGAACTGGCCATGGAAACTTATCAATTCTCCATTCTATCAGCCTCTTCGATTGGTATTGCGTCTCTCCTCAATGCAGTGGAATCCGTGTCTACCAACGCGGCCTTTGTCAAGGACTTTGATCAATCGGTCTGCCGATTGGCCAATGTCGACGCGACAGAACTTCGGGCTGTCCGCATCAATTTGTATGAATCCATCAATGGTGTGGAACCAATGGACATGCATTTCACTGCGGATGATGTCGAAGACGATACTGTCAATGACACTGCCAAATTCTCGGAAACTAACCACGAAGTCGGTACTTCTCCAAGATCTGTCAGCATATGATCGAGGGATGGACTACACTACACTCACTACACATCAAACTGCACACTACTACACTTACATATGGGAATAGAAAGAAATCAATAATGCAGTATCTACTGTTAAACTGTAAAATACAACTTTCATATTGAACACAAGATACATCGTCTGAAACTACAAGATCTTAGAACCTAAATTTGCATCATGATTCTTGATTTTGATACGGGTTTGATCATTGGAAACCTGGTCGTAGAAACAACACAAACTGCAACATGGCAATTACAATGAATGAAAGCAGAAATCATGTGCTGTTGAACAACAAAGAAACTCACTATCGAATTTCAATGATGCTCTTACACCTTCCGTTGAAGTTAGAACAGATGTCAGTGATATGTCGGACGGGCCTTACTAAACCATACATGTATTTTACTTGGCAAAATGGGATTGGTCAAGTAAGATAGTCATGACCAAAGTGCGAGGCAGTCCTTTTCAAATCAATTGTACAGTAGTTTCTGATTTGTTTAATGGCTGAACTTTCGTGTTCATTCAGAATCTTTGCGCCATTCTGGCAACGGTGCGGTGCTGTGACCTTGTTTAGCGTGAATGTTTAGCGTGGATTTGGACCTATCAAAGTACTTTCACGCTAAACATGAATTGGACGATCGAAGTGCAGACGACGATATTCAAATAGCCAAACCTCACCACAATGACAATTCAACTCTACACTGGCTTAGAATTAGATCGAATTTTGTAGTCGAATGTTAATATATTGTATTCTACCTTGTTGTGGATGTCATGGGAGGAGGTTGTTGCCTAGATACAACTGGAAACCTGGTCATTCTTATTCCTGGTCACGGTGCAACAAGCAACAATGCACACCAAACATTCAGCCATGATCTGTAGGTTTTCGTCATATTTGATTTGCCAGGCGGGTTGTCACATTCCACAGTACTCTTCCATGTATCATCTTTGAGCGCCATTTTGAGGAAGCATGCTGGCTTGTAGGTATCAATCATTGGAGAATTGTCCCCTTTGTCTCCCATCCTCAGTTTCATTTGTCGTTCGCTATGAGGAAGCTTGTGAAAACAAGTAGCTACTGTATGGTCGTGAATGATTTGGTTAACGATTTTGTAGTGTCATCCATCATCTTGTATATCCGGGTTACTTTGGGGCATCTGATCATGGGCCTCGCGACCTTCGGTCGCTCCGCCAAATAGTTTTACGTGCAAGGTCATAGCACCGAATTTATGCCCATTACGGCAACGGTGCGGTGCTGTGACCTTGTTTAGCGTGAATGTTTAGCGTGGATTTGGACCTATCAAAGTACTTTCACGCTAAACATGAATTGGACGATCGAAGTGCAGACGACGATATTCAAATAGCCAAACCTCACCACAATGACAATTCAACTCTACACTGGCTTAGAATTAGATCGAATTTTGTAGTCGAATGTTAATATATTGTATTCTCCCTTGTTGTGGATGTCATGGGAGGAGGTTGTTGCCTAGATACAACTGGAAACCTGGTCATTCTTATTCCTGGTGACGGTGCAACAAGCAACAATGCACACCAAACATTCAGCCATGATCTGTAGGTTTTCGTCATATTTGATTTGCCAGGCGGGTTGTCACATTCCACAGTACTCTTCCATGTATCATCTTCGAGCGCCATTTTGAGGAAGCATGCTGGCTTGTAGGTATCAATCATTGGAGAATTGTCGCCAAGCAATTGCTGCTGCTACCACTGAAACCTTGTATTGCATCAGCTACAGTCGCAAGTTCCTTCATATGTTGTGCATTCTTGGTATCTCACATAATTCGCCTGAAAGCTCCCCAGTTCTGATTTCTTTCACTCTGCTCAGTTGATGACAGGCAGTGCCCATGCTGATTTGCAAGCCAAATAGAAGATTCACAAAACAACCGCATTCCATTTGCTGGCAAGAGTTTGCCTCCATCCGCTTCGTCGTCTGGAAATCTCAGATATTCTCATTTCTTTTAGTCTGCACAGTGGACGGCAGCGCTCATGCCGATCTTCGAAGCCAATGAGCAAGGAGATAGCAAGACAATATTATTCCCCTTGCGCGCAACACCGACTCCAGTAGTATCCACCTTGTTCGTTTCAGCCCCCACAGCGGTAGATTGTTGGCGAAACGTATGTATCTTCCTCTGCTTCAGTTCATATCTTGTCTTCTTCTTCATTTGATGGCTCGGTTTTGGGTAACAAGGCTCGCCAGCACTGTGGTTTCACCTCGTTGGATTACAAGAAAAACACATCAAAATTGCCAACTGCCTCCGGCAGCTGTCATCATCAATCTATTCTTTGTCTCCCGTCCTCAGTTTCATTTGTCGTTCGCTATGAGGAAGCTTGTGAAAACAAGTAGCTACTGTATGGTCGTGAATGATTTGGATAATGATTTTGGAGTGTCATCCACTATCGAAGATAGCCAACTGGCGCCTGCCGCCTGGTTTCTTCCGTGAGGGATTCTTTCTTGGTGTGACTCTGGTGGGTTGTGGTGTGAAGCTGGTCTTTTGGATTGCGCGCGAAGCGTGCGGTTCCAAAAGGCCAGTCTTTGATATTCCGCTTCGCGGAATATCAAAGACTTGCTTGCCTACCAAAAGTTGATGATCATGGTGTAATCAACCAACCACCACAACACACGAAGCACCATAGAAGAAACAAAGAAGAAACAGGAAGAAAGCAGGAAAAGGAAGAAAGGTCGGAAGGAAAAGGAGGATCTAAGAAGAAGAAGAAGAAGAAGAAGAAGAAGAAGAAAATGTCAACTTCAGCGCTCCTTGAATTGTTCGCTCAAGCGTGTCACCAATAGATTGGAAGCAGTCGCGAAGGTAGGTGGGCACAGAGCTCGGAAGCCAGCGTAATCGGAACGCGATTTCGTCATTATTGGCTCCACCTTTTTGTAAGCACACTGCGGCGGTGACACGGTTGGAATGAGGAACAATAAGATGGCGGTTAATCCGCAAATAGTGGTTTGGGTCGGGATATGCCATATCAACCGAACCGCGCATCACCTCAGAAACCTCCCTAGATTTCAAGAAGCGATAAGATGAGGTGTTGGAACCCCAAACGCCAACAGGATAGGCGGTGGGAACACCAAGAAGAGTCGACCGATGAATGATGCAGACAGCGGCATCCACGGGACAGTAGATAGGATGGCCTGTGATTTTGAAGCGTTTCTTCACAAAGTTGAAAGAGCTCTTATCATATTTCCATCGAAGTTCAAGCCACACAACATCACCACGTTTATACCGTGTGATCAAATGTTTGTGTGGGATTAACACATAGTGCTTGTCAAAGAAGCGAAAGTCCTGAGCCATCATTGCAAGAGGCATGCCTCGGAACTGTTTGGGAACGTCATGTTGGTCTGGAATCTTGTTGAATAATTTTCCACGACCCAAGTCGCCTTGAGAATATTCGCTAGCCCGAAAGCCAGTGAAGATACCGAGACGGGTCCAATCATAGACAGAATGTGTCTTTCCAAGGAAGGTTACGGTTGGATCTGGTTCACCA